GTTTTTAGGTCTTTAAAGAAAAGAAATGCAAATAATTTTAATTTTACTTATTATTATAACCAAATTTAAATAATATAACATTCGTTCTTATTCAGTCAAATTTCGTCTTTATTATTATTTGGAAAGTGAATTGTAAATGGCCTAGTTATTAATAATTGAAGTGACTATAGTTTAAAAAGTAAACCTAAAAGTGGCTGATCAAGAAAAGCAGTAAGAAAGCTGCATAGTTAAAAGTGAATTTATACGTAGAACATCAAGAAAATTGCAACTCGAATTGCCCTGGAGTTATACAAAGAAAATATTGCGAATATTGGTCGCAGTACTGCTACAAGACGTTTACATGATGTTGGATTGCATGGACGATGTGTGTGACGAAGCTATTAATTAGTTAATAGATGACTAGACTAAAGTTTTTATTAGATTGCTTGAACTGGAATGTTGAGAATTGTAAAAAAGTATGCTTTCCTATTAAATACAAATTTAATTTACTCAAGAGTATTGCCAAAAAGTATATTTGATGTTCAACAAGAACAGGAAATAATGCTAAATAAGATTCTTCATCTATTTTGAGTATTTCGTCATCAATATGAATAAAAAAATAATCAATAATATGAATCAATAATAAGAATAGAAAAATATATCAAATTCCTATTGACAAACATGATAAAGTCAATGCTATGGATTGGGGTAATTTTCGGATCAAAGACCCAGACCATTAGTCCAAATTGATCGCATAATGGATCATTATATGTATATTTTGTCTGGAATGGTGCTATTAAATGCGCAGGTGCTATTAATGGTGCAGACGAAAAAAATTAAGATTTAAAGACCTTTCAGATTTTTTTTATTTTATTTTAACAATGTTTAAACAAAACGAATAAAAAAAAATATTGATAAAAAAGAATAATTTTTACTATGTTAGTTAAGTATTTATATTTCTGCCTTTTGCGCTAAAACAGTAACTAAAAAAATATGTGCACTTATATGAACATAATGGAATTAATTTATTTTTTATTTTATTATTTTTTTTTCCCAATGCCCACCTGGTGAATGACTTACGTCATACAGGCATCTGAAGGGCAGCTTTGTTGGCCACTCTTTCAGGGGTACCATATTAGGTGGGCCAACGTTGCTCCCATAGTAAGGACAGATAGTACAGAGAAGGAAGGAGCATCCATGCCTCGCCCGGGATTCGAACCCAGGACCTTTCAGATGCAAGGGTAGTTCCCTAACCCCTACACAGGCCGGTCGGCATGGAATTAATTTATAATCACAAACAAATATTCTACCTTCAATTTCAGCTAACTGAAATGTTCGAATTCACTTTTAGTACTGCTGAATTCGATGTTTAAAGATGAGGAAGAGCTTATCGATGCGAAAATGTAAGAAGTGAAAATAAAAAGTTTGTATTATGCCAGGTGTGCCCACCCCCGCACAAAACTGATGGGGAGATCCCCCTAAATTTGAAAATTTGCCCCCTCATTTCCGCAAACAACAAAATGCAGATCAAACTTTTTACTTAAACAATTTTTCGGCTATACCTGTAATATTTTGTAAGACATGAGTTTTAGAAGAGGAAATTAACATTGTGAAAAAGAATTGGGACAAAAGAAAAAAAAATAGAGCGTTATTCAAAACTGACATACAAAGTGGTGTTGTGTTGTTCTTTTTAAAAGCTATATTAATTTAAATCTCAATTCTATTCAGGTCGTTGAGCCCAAATTTAATATTATTAAACATTTGTTCAAATGTAACAAGATATTTTTAAAAAAAATTAATTTATATACAAGGATAAATTTAAAATGGGAGGAAAGATATTTAAAAAAATTTATAAGTATGTATCAACAATGATAGAATGCAGCTCTGAAAAAAAGTATAAGATTTATGAAGAAAGTGATAAAACGTAAGAAGAAAGGACTTGCATGGTTTTACTTTATAATATAGCTATAGATTATGACATAAGTAATCAAAAATTAAAGAATTGCTATATATAACAGCCACAGGTAATTTTAAAAAACATTATTCTAACGTAAAAGGCTTATTCTTATTTGTAAAAGTGGCATTTCAATTTTAAGACATTTAAATTTATTAAACTATAAAAGAAAATTATTTTGCCGCCAAACATCAATATTACTTAATATTAATTTGTAAACACAACATTTTAATTATCTAACTATATATTATTATGATTTAAAAGAAAATATCATAGAATTTATAAGAATAATCATAATTTTTAACGGAGACGGTGGTTTGGTTTAATGCATTAAACGTACTTAAATTACCTGTTCGTGTTCTATATAATCATTAAAGGCCTAGAAAAGTTAGGTCTCAAATTCTGGATCTAAAATCTAAAAAAAAATTCACAGAAAAAAAATAAACATTTCGTCTAGGCTAAAAATATTTAATAAAACTGATTGGTAATCAACAAGTTTATATTAATTACCAAAACCAATTTAACATGTCATATGAATGCGCCCCGTGGCATAATGGTGGCGAGACGGCGACATAGTCGCAGAATATTACAGAGTTCTTGCAGAAAGATTTTTTATTTGGAAGGCAAAGAAGTTTTGGTTTTTTTATTCGCAGAATTTTTCGAAATATTTTTTTCTGCAGAATTTTTTTTCCCCTTTCTGCAGAATTATATTCAAATAATATCTTTCTCGCATATCGGAGGTGGAATCCTACCTTCCTTTTTTCCTACTTTCTTTTGAGAATAAAAAAATTCCGCAATGAGTTTCTTTAGCTAGAATTTCATATTTATATTATAAAAAGTAACTTCCGAATAGCAAAAATTTAAAAAGGTTAACTATACAAATATTTTTTAGAACAGGAGAATATCGCCAATATTAGAATACGTATTCTTTTATATTTAGATTTTTAAAAATAATTCTTACATTTATAATTAAAAAATTATATACTGTTCTATTCTGTACTTAAAGGCCTTTTTTTGTAAACAGAAAGCGCTTCTGTTACTTTAAATTAGAAACATACATATTTGCTTCTATTAAAAATGTATTTCAGAAAGATATTAGTACTAGATAGAATTGTTGCCAAAAGATGGAAAAAATTCTGCCACTGGGTGAATGCGAAGACTGATTTTAACTTTCTAACGTAAATACTCTTTTATTTGGTTATGCTGTCTTTTAGCTCTTTAACAGTGCCAATAAGGAAAATTATTATTTCTTTTAATTTTACTGTTTGAGATCTGTGCTTTCTTTTAACTTGAATAAATCTATAACAGTTGAAGTTTGTTTCGTTTTAGTGGGGGAAAAATCCTTACAAATTAAATTAATTGGCTAGCAAATTCATCTTGTTCAAAACATTCTTGTTGCTAACACAACGATAACAAAGTTGCTAATTTCTTTTATTATCCATTAAAAGTGCCATTGAACTAAGCATACGCGTTATCATATGTTGTACTGAATCATTTTAATAATAAATTCACCAAGATGCCCATTTTCATCAAAATTTCTCAAAACAGCCAAGATCTGAAAGTGCAAACATGTAAGAGGCAAAAATTAAATCCACCCTCAGTAGCGCAGAATGAGTTTATAGTTACATATCGTCCTGATTTTTGACTATATAATTATAAACCTCGAAATACTTGAAATTCTACTCATTTAAAGAGACGGACTAGCTGGTCGCCGTTAAAAAAATAAAATAAAAACACTGCTAACTGAATATTTGGTTTTAATTTTAATAAGAGGAAGAAAAATAAATTGGAAAAAAATTTCGATCCTAGAAATATTTTAAAGACGAAAAGCTACCGAAAAATAAATAATTTATTTTTAATTCACTATTTTAAATTTTAATTTAACATAGTGATAAATATATTTATTTTAATTTCATATATATACATAGATATATAGTACAGGGAACGACATTTTTATTATTTTTTGCGGCAGTATTACGTCTTTAGATTAGAAAATGAATAACAGTAAACAAAGTGTTTAAATTGTAGGCAAAGCATAGAAAAACAAGTCTTTTCATTTAAATAGAATGAAAGAAAAGTAATTGTTTCTTTCTATCAGCCATAATATTTACTTTCTAACATAACAGACAATTTGTGTTCTTCAATTCCATTCATCTATAAATAAGGAAAAAAAAGAAACATAATAGCTTTCATAGCTATCAAGAAACTGTAACTCAAAGAAATACAATGGTCAAATTTTCTTTCTCTCTTTCACTGAGACTTTACAATTTCAAAACAAAGAAAGAGTCTTTGACTTTGACATAGAAACAAAATAAATAACATTCCTCATTTTTTTGTGTTATAAAAATAATAAATCATTTTTGGGGAGGTGGAATTTTGGGGCAATTAATTACTGATGCTTACATTAATAAATTCATAAGAGCTTGAAAAAAAGTCGTTATTTTATCTGTATATAGTGCCAAAAAAAATAATATTAACTAAGAATAAAAATCTGTAAGTTTTAAGGAAGAAAATAAATAAAAAAAGGGGGTTATTAAACTTTTTCACTTTACCATAAGAAAAATCTTATATATTATAAAATACTCATTATTTTGAAGCACAAAAATATATTGATTGATAAAAATTTTGCATTTCATCTAAAAGTAAGTGTATATAAATTAAAATATAAGTATTTAATAAATTATAAAAAAAGGCGTTATTAATTAGCTCTCTTTAATTTCCATTCAACTTTTTATCTTTGTTTCATTTAATACATATTTACTCAAAATTGTGCTGTCCAAAATTAATATGAAATAGTCTTGTCGTGCTGTCCAAAATTAATATAATCCAACTGGATCAATTAGACAGCAATTTTTAAAAGTAAAATATATGCAAAAATCTTTTATTTAAAATTAAATTAATTTTCAATAAAATTAATATTTTTAAGCTTAGTTAAACTGATGACTAACCTAGACTCTGTGATAATCAATTTATTAAGGTTATATTTTACTATTAATTTGTTTCTCCTTTATTGGATTTAATAGTCTTTCCCTGTACACAATATAGAAAGATTTTAGAATATACTTACAGCAAAGAGTGCATTTTGCAAGCCAAATGGTATTGGTGTAAGCCTTGAAATAGCAATCAGCTTAAAAGCATGGGCACTTTGTAATGCTGCTACTGTTGCTTTGAGAACATCAGGCCCTAACAGTTTAGCAGTAATTGTTCCTATAAAGTAATGCTTCATAAGAAGATGAGCGGATAAAATTCCTACACTTGCAGCAAAAGCTGTCACTAGAGTACCAGCAATCAATCCATAGTGGTATCCACAGGCTAGGTTAAGTAACACATAGCCCCAGGTCATAGGAAATGACACTGCAGTGTATAAAATTATAAATACAATACAAACCACCCATTCTTCCTGATTGTCTAACCACAATAATCCATATTTAACATAATCTCTACACAGAAATAGAAAAAATGATAAAGCTGCTAATACTGCGCATGCAGGTATGCAAGAAAACAAGAATTTTGGAGAAAATAGTCTGGAGACTAAACACTTAGCACGTCGTCGAGTTCTTATTATCACATTAGACCCAGCTGTAGTTTTTCCATTCATATATAGCTTCTCATTTCCAGGAGTAGGGACAGAATTACTATCAGCTGGTTGTGCTAAAGCTAATAGAGGCAATGCCACCGGCGAGGTTATAGCCATGTCAATAAAATAATTTTAACTAGCATTATTCAAAAAGTAAGATACTTTTTTTGGTGCATTTTTATCACATTCAGGGTGTATCACAAACGCAACAAAAATAAACACATTTTGTTAAGAGTTAGGAACATCGAAAATTGATATAAATAAGCTTAATTCACAAAAATCTATCTGTGGATAAAACATTTTTAAGTGTTGATCATTCAAAATATGATGCTTGTAAAGATTAATGATTGGATTTTTATACCGCAGTCTCCAATATTATCCATTTCGCTGAGTATGTAAACAAACGCGATTGGAAACTTGCAGTAGTAAACGAAAACTAGAAACCAAAACACGAGAGTCGTCGTAAAACGTGTTTACTGGAATAAGAGTTGAGTGATATCTCCTCTGCACTCACGAATTTCAGAATTAAAGGGGCGCTTTAAAATGCGCGCCATCTGTTGGAACAAATTGGAGACTACGAATGAGTAGTGAAAAATAATACTTAACAAACTATTTTATTGGAAAGTCAGCTGCTCATAAAACTGCGTGTACTTAATATACTGATACCGAATAATGTTAATAATTGATCACTGATGAACAATATATATCAGGAATATTGATAACTTTTTTAAAACCGATTAATTTATAGCTTGTATTAAAATTTCCAGAAACAAAAACCAGGAAAGGGAAAATGTTGAAGTATATGTTACTTTTCTTGGTTATTTACATATAAAGTTAATTCAGAACTTGACCAAGACATTTTATTTTTAAACCTGTAGTGAATTCTAAGGAGAACATAACGGAATGAACAAAGCTGTACTGTAGGAGTAAGGAAAAGGATATATGTCCCAGAGATATAATTCGATACTAAAAATTAGTTTAATTTTTTTTTGCAATTTTAGTTATCTTCGCAAAGTCGCATTCTTGGGATTGGGGGGGGGGAGGAGACTGCAGTTATTATTTACAGTTTTATTCTATGATATTCATTGCTTTTAAATTGACCATTTGTGTTTACTTAACTCAATAACCAAGTTGAAAAATTTTAGTATAATCAGCGAAAATGTATCTTTTAAAAATAACAGTTTTGAAAAATAGCAAAATAAAATTAGATTTTTTAATCGTTTGGCCCATATCATGGGTGAAAATACCTGTCAATCTATAGCATAAATAGATTTCTATATTAATACCCTTAAAACGATGGTATTCACTTCACTAGAGAGAGAACTATAAAAACTTAGGAAAGATAAACATTTATAAAAAAAACTAAATTTATTGTAAAAATTATTTCCAATCAAATGTAGTTTTTTTTAAAAATATTATTAAATTTTAACTTCTTTGGCATTCTAATGCTCTAAAACTTTAACAAATAAAAGTTAATGAATAAAGTTAATTGTTTATTTGAAAACTATAGTGTTCACAAAAGCCAAATATTTAATATAATATAATATAGTTAAAAATATAATTTCATAAAAATATTAAATAAAAGATTTCATGTCCTCTATCATTCATTGGATGTTCTTTTTGGTTGAATGACTGGGGGCAGTTACTGCCTGTAATTCAGGCAATTGAAAAATTAAGAGTATTTTATTTAGATTAAATTAGAAGGATTTAACAAGAGTTGAATTTTTTTTTTCGTTAATAAAGACCATACCTTCTGCAGAAGATCAAAAGTGTGAGGACATGTCTTCTGTTCATCCTCATGGATGTATACCAAACCGTCGCCTAGAACCAAATTGTGCAGCTCTAATGTGCCATAAACAAAGTAACTACAGCATACTTTAATGTGGCTAGTATTTCCAAAACTTATTACCTCTTAATTCCCTTTAATGCTCATTATTTATCTTAAACTTTTTTCTTAGAACTTTTATTAGACAATATGATAATCATCTTTTTTCCTAGGGAAATTTTGGCATCAGAAAAGCAAAGGTTTTTAAAATTATGAAGAAACATTTTTAATACAATTAAGCATTCCACTTTATAATATTCTGGTTTAAAGCTGTTTTATTAACAGCTTTGTATCTTGATAACTTGTTGATTCAGTTTCGAAAATGTAAAATACGATTGAGAATCAGTTAAGACTAATGATAAACTAGCCAGAATTGAAGACATATAAATTGCACCGAAGTACACATTCAGGGTTCCCACTGTTTTAACAAATCAAAAATTAAGCACTTTTAAGGACCTTCTTTGAAAAAATTAAGGACTTCCAGTGACAGTGCAAATTATTTACCTTTCTAAAAAATCAATAAATAAAAAACAATTTTATTATAATTTAAGAACTAAAACTGATATATTTGCATCAAGTAACAGGGCTCGTCAAAGAAGTACCAGGTAAATTTAGCAAACCCTGGTCAGGTTTTTTATCAAACATTTTCAGACTGTTAAAAGTTAACGTCATTCAGACGTAAAAGTTTACATATGAAACTAACCTGTATTCCTTTTTTAATGATTTCATTGAAATTGAATTGCAAAACTAAGAGGAGAAATTAAAATTTGCAGTTTTTTTCAAGAAAGAGTAAATAACGAAATTCGTCAAAAACATTGAAATAATTATTACAAGCTTTTATATTCCACTACTAGATCAGCAAATGTGTTATATTTACTTTTATAATGAACTTTAACAAAATTATTTCCAACCGAACCAGTTATTAGGAATTAACTTATACATAATGTTACTAAAAATTCTGGCGAAAAACATGAAATAATTTTAAAGCAACCAAAAATTGAACAAGAATTAAAAACAGTATATTAAGTTGCAATGTTAACTGAATGAAATTATTATTAAAATCCAAGGATCTTTCAGTTGAGTAGATTCATATTTTATTAACAATCTGCTTATCCTTAAGAAATAAAAATAGCGTAACAATCTAAAACTTAAAAAAAAATAAATTTACATTGCAACAAAGCAAATTATAAATAGTAACAAAATACTTAACTTTCTTGAAAGAAGCAAATCATGCTTTCTTATTTAGTACTTGGGAAAAAAAATCCAAAACCATTAAACTCCAGGTTTTTGATTAAAAACTTAGGTGGGCTGGGATTTTTCAAACCTTGATTTTTACAGATCTGTTTATTTAGTACAATCAATGAATTTTAAAAAATATTATTCTTTCTATAAATTTATGTTTACTTATTACACATTGAAATATTATACAAATTCATTTCATTCTTCAAGATTTTAATAAATAGTTATCGTTATGGATTCTAGTTCAAATATTTTTCAGGTACTTCTTTTCTTGGAGTTTTACTTAATCCCTATAAGCAGATGTGTTACCAGTAGTACTGAATTTCTTGAATTCTGTCAATTTTGAAGTTTAGTGTCAGTCTTCTACTTAGGTACCTTAAATCTGCAACCCCCAAAAAAGCACTATCTCTTCCATGTGCAATATCCCCCATGTCCACACTATTCTTTTCTTTTAGAATGCTTCACTCTTCAAAAAAATAAACAATAGAAATAAAAATTTGGCTACCGAAGCCGATGTCTTCAGGGGGTACCAGCTCCGGAAGCCATAAAAACAAAACCTTTTCTATTGAGAGAACCAGACAAATGTCAAAAAATTGCTCTCTTAGTATCCCGAAGGTTATGCATAAGTCAAAGAAGAAACACAAAAATCAAATCAGAAGAAAAATTTTAAACAAAATCAGGAGAATAAAATACAAAAACTCGCAGTAAACTAGTCAAACAGCAAATTCATGAAACTAACTCAATGTAAAAGAAAACAACGCCCCTATTAAAATGCACAGTAGGAAGAAAAAAAAAGGATAGGAAATGTAAAGATTGCTTAACAGATTAATATAATGCTTAACTGGGGCTGCTCAGCCAAGACTTTAATTTTGCCCTGTTAAAAGAAAGAAATAATAAACTAATATTTCTCAATCATTTTCACAATCAAAAATTTAACATTACAGTAATTAAAAGGAAAATCATTATTTCTCAAAACACTCAACGTTATTGCAAATTTTTTTAAATCACAATTGAGAAAAAACTTAATTTTTGAAAATTTTACTGCACTAATTAGTATCAAAATTACAGAAAAAAATAACTTTCAATTAAAAGCCTTTCGTTTATCAAAAACAACAATTTAAATTTTTTTTATCAACAATATCAATTTTAAAATCTAAATATTCAACTTTTAAGCAATTCTCATTAGTTTTTTTTCAAAACGAAATCTTTAGGATAACTACTATAAATAAAATCATAATTATCACAATTAAATCATCAATATATCTAAAAGATTTAAAATCATTAAACTCAAGAAATTTATCTTCAAAAAAAAGTAAAAAAATAATAGCAAAAGCACCAGAAATAGAATTACCTTGTGGAATTCCAATAATTTGTTTATAAAAATCCAGACAATTAAAAAGTACATTCTCAAAAAGATTAAACCTACAAATATCCAAACAATAAGATTTATCAATATTTTCATTAAATAAATATTTATCAAAAATGCCACTACAAATTTCAATAATCTGTGCATGTGGAATACTAGTGTACAGATTTTCAAAATCATAAGTATTAATACTAGAAATTACATTATTTTTGATATAATCTAAAACATCAACGTTACTTTCAATAACAATATTTTTCTCTTTTTTAATTTTAAGTAAAATAATTTTAAGAAAATTAAAAATCTTTTTACTAATATCAAAATTGTAACAATTAGTACCACATGCAATAAACCTAAATTTAACCAGACATTTATGAAATTTAACAATAGGAAATAAATATGGAAAAGTAATCCCATTTAATTTAAATTTTTTACTAAATGCAATAATCTTTTTCAATAACTTTTCCTTCTTCGAATTTTAAATAAGTATTATTAGCGTTATATTCCCCAATAATTAATTTTTTAAAAAAATATTTACACATAATACAAAAATTATTTGAGGCTTTATCAATAACTGTAATAATAAATTTATCCTTAAGAATTTTAATTTTTCTAGACAAATCATAATCAATAATAGTACCACTAGGATATGAACAAAAACTGGTATTAAATTTAACCTTTTTAATAATTTTAATTTTCCACTCTGAAATATTGAAAACAGTTTTCCATAGTTTCTGACCATAATTTTCAAGTCGTTATCTTAAGTCTGTAAAATCTACACAACATGCATTAATATGCAGCATTTCTGTAACTTTATTATAATCAAAAATCAAATAAAATGAAGATTGTAACAACAGAATGCCAATACCAAAGATGAATAGACTGTTTTTGAAATAATATAATTTGGAACGGGCTATTTAGAGCATTAAATAATAACAATAGAAGTATATTCATTTTCATTTCCGTTTGCCAGCATGTAAAATCTCATAATTAATTGCTAGTACCTCTACGTTTAAATTGTAATGCAAATCATATGTAATCAATCAAAACTTTTGGGTATGTGCTCATACAGCCTTTTTTTTCTTAACTCACATAATACAATATGTCCTTTAAACTGACGAAGTTAAAAAAAAAACATTTTAATTTCCTCGAAATTAACCTATCTTTATGTCCATATAAGATGTTGTATACAAATAAAATGGATTCTCATACAATTCACAAATGCTTTATTTAATTCAATATACAAATTGTTTATAACAGTAATTACATAACATTCTAAACAATTCTTGATATTAAAATAAATATGTCAAAACTTTTAGTATTCTAAATTTCATGAACCAATGCTAAATATGTACAATTAGCATAACAGGCTTTGTAGAGTTGTTACTAAAAAGAGAGAAAAGAATTTGAATTTGATACGACAAAATTAGGAATAAATGAAAAACTTTTTAAAAAAAAGATCATTTCATCTTAATAAAGTTTTCATTTCATTGATTTAAATTTCCTTCAAGAGGTAAACCAATTAATTCAGATATTTGATTTTTGTCAGAAGCTAACAATTTTAAAACAAAAAGCAATAGAATAAAGATGAAATTATCATTACCATAATCAAAAAACAATAGTCCTGTATAAAAACAAAAAATCAGAATTTACCTCAATCTGAATCTTTTACATAGTAATACATACTACTTCTGCAGAAAAAAAAAGTGACAAAATATAAGAATATTTTATTTTGGTATATTATTTCAAATAAATTTTTTTAAATTTATTATAGAGATAAGAAATATACTATTTTTTTAACAAATAATTTATTAATAATGTTACAGTTAATGTATATTTTGTCGTACAAAAGTTTCATTAGAAATAAATTTTCTTAAAAGTATGAATAAAATAGTTTAAGGAATTATATTAATTTTGTAACTTTCAAAATTCAAGTAATATAAATTAAACAGCTAATTAAGAGTCATAGCTTGAGAACAATGCTAAATGCATAGGCTATTTCAATCAAACCGAAAAGCATTTTATTCAAAAAAAATTATTTGCCAAAAACTGCAAACTGCGTAATCAAATAAAATTTATTTAATGTTAAATCTAGTTTAATGAAACGATTGTCCCTCTTAAAAATTAATTTAAAAATTGGCAATTAATTTTTTTAAATGCAATTTTATTCTAAAGAGTTTCATGTCACAGTAAGATTATTGAACTGGGTTGCAACTAATCCAGTGTTGTTGTTTTTTAATCAATATGATACGTATATCGATAAAGAACTATTTCACCAATTCAGACAACTTATACTTATATTGACTGAATTAGTGAATCAATCTAAATGTGAATTTGTTTTATAATCATCTTGAATTAAAAGATTGATATGTTAAAAATGTATGATAAAGGCAGTGTAATGCGAACTAGAAATTTAATCTTTAAAAAATAAAACAGCAATATTAGTTTAAAATTTAAAAATACATAAAACAAATTATTAATTACTTCATTAAAGGAAAAAGTTTTTAGAAAAATACTAAGCAAAGACTAATGTTAAAAAGCATTTTTTTTTTTTAGGTCCCAGAAATACCTTATATCAAATGGGCAACCATCAAGAATGCTTGTAACTGTATTCTTCATCAGTAGTATTCTGTCCCTGAGAATAATGAAGTAAAAATATTTTCAGATTTTCATAATACTCTAAAAAATAATACACTAACAAACTGCTATTTAAAAAAAAAAAGTAAATTACGAGCCTCACTAGAAACATTAATATTAAATTACAACAGTATAAACATTTAATTTTTAAATAATTAGTTTTAAAAACGTTGTTATTATGATATTAATATAATAAAATGCACTTAAATTTGCAGTTGCTTTTTGTGTATTTTTTTTAACTTTTCAATTTCTACCTTCTTATATCAACAGGTTATGGACTGCAGTCTCTACGCCTCAATTAGTAAGGAATTGCCTGGTTCCATTATACATGAGTATCTTCTGGGAGCCTGGGAATAATCAATTAAATATTTTTAGATAATAACATAATATATTTAAAAACACAGTTAAATGCCCTGATAAATATACACATTCAAGGTTGAACCAATTAATCATTCGTTTTACATTATAATAGGATAAACTATTCAAACAATTTCTTAATAGTAATAAAAAGAGGGGAAAGAGAAAAATTCTGATTTAAGATATAGAAGTTTGGATTCTTAATACTATAACTTGATTAAAAACAAAATTATGAAAAAAAAAAAGTTTCAAGGAGCTTTAAAAGCCTTGGATCTTTAGGAGAAAACTGAGTAGTCAACTAAATATAAAGAGCTATTCTTTTTAATAAACATATTAAAAGAGAAAAAAACTACTGAACTTAAAAAAAAAATAAAAAGTATAAAACAATTAAGAAAAAAGTTTGGAATTTTATTTGTCTTCAGTAGGATGGTTTACACCTAAGGAATTAAGGATAAATATCTTTAATTAACAATTTCAATTATTTTTATTAAGCTAAAAATCACAAATTAAATAATTATTAGTTTTCCAAACTATACATATTAAAAAAAGCAAAATTTAATGTTATTGTTTAAGATTCAGATTTATGATTATTGTTAATTGCAGTAAGTAATTTTAAATAGGACATAAATTAATGTTACTAATTATTTAAATTTTAGTTAATTTAGCTATTTTACGTTATTCAAAACATTGACTTCAAATAAATTTTTAGACAGCTGTAAGTTAATCTACAAATGTAAGGTTCATGTTCTACCATACACCATAAGAAAAAGTACAAATTATTTCATGGGAGGGAGAATTAAATTTTGATAACAGCAAATTTCATCAGAATCTAGGATTTACAACTAATATTTTCTAAACTTTATGGAAAAAAAAACATAGCAATTATATAGTTTATCTTGAATTTTAGGCTTTTATCTGCCATCTCTGAATATTACTATTTATTATCTTCTCAGCAAAAGAAAAATGCAATTAACTTTGCACTGAAAAACTAAAATGTCTTTTTTAATCAAGAAATCAGAACTGAAAGAATTAAAATGATACAACCATTCATAATACTATATTCATAAATTAATAAAAAAAAACATTAAAAAATGAAACTATAAACACGGATATTAATACCAATGAATGACAGAAAACGAATTACCACAAGCAATATACTGCTTTCTGTCAGCTTACATAGCGAATTTCTACAGCAATGCATGGCACAAATTACCTAATGAATATCAAAAAGAATAAACATGAAAAGGTACATTTAATAAAATCAGAAACATTATTTCCACAAGGCAATTCTAATCAGGTGATTATAAAAGTTCAAAAGTGATCTAAATTGTTTAAAAAGAAGTTTTAAGATTAATTGGATAATGACCAACAAATAATTATGGATAGAGGAATAAATTTGATCTAAAAAATTAAGGAAATGTTCAAATTAAGTCAATTATCTTCCTTTACAACATGTTTTTCAACAAATTTTGCAAATTAGGATATTAAAAGGAGAAATCATTAGTATTCATTTGATCTTGTTCATTCATTTAATATTAAAATAACTTGTGCAGAAAGAAATCCTTCTGTGCCAGATATTAAATATTTCAGTGCAGTTTTTTCCTCAATTTCTACTAAGAGGGAATTTAAAAATGTGTAAATGATTGAGAAATAGTCGCAGAAAATGTTGGAAAGCACATTAGAGATGAATTAACCCTGTTTATTAATATTATTTTCAATATGGTTTTAAATAGGCACAAACTTTCGTAATCACCTGATATAAAAACTAAATATATGACTTAAAAAATACATAAATAATTCTTTTTTTTTATTTGGAACTTTTATTAGGAATAATAAAATTGTATTATGAACTACTTAATAAAAGACAGTAGACCAAGTTCTCAAGTAACCTGTTTTTTCTCTTGCTTGTAGAGTATACTTACTTCATTACTTAATACTTCGAATAAGCATCTATTTTCAAGTATAATTGTATGTTCACATAATTGAGATTTAAATAGTTTTGATCAATATTAAAAATTTAAGGTATACAATTATTTGATAAAAAATAATAAAATATAAAAAATAGAACTAAGGGTTGGCATTGTATTAAACATTGATCATTCACAAAGATGTATAAAGTGAACTATAGCAAGCTTTAGACGACCAATGCCTGCTTCAGTAGATAATTTAATTTAAAAATTAAAGTAAAATCTCACAGTTTCATTGGTAGTGAGAGGTTCCCCAGTGAGTAAAATAGCATATAGTCATAGCTTCCAACACTTTACAAAATAAAAGGCTGCTAATCCCTTCACTATAATTTAACAAATATCAAAAGTTTTCCAAGGAGCTATGTTATTTTAATGCAACTAGGACAATCAATTTTGAAACAGCAATTCAAAGGCAAATATTTTTAGTGTTCGAATGCAGCCTTTTGAATTAAAAATTAATTAGCAACTTAAAGAATCATCGCATAAAGGTTAATTGTTTGAACTCATTGAATGATCAACATATAACTAAATTTAAAATTGGCTATTGATACATTAAATTCATTTATAAAATTTATATAACTACAGTAGAAATAATTTAAGACTAAAAACATAATTGCAAATAAAACTTATACTTAAAAAAAAATAAAGAAAAAATTCATGACTTATTAAATTTTAATACATAAATCTCATTAACTGAATGATTTAAATACAACAACTTTTAGGGAAAAAACAAAACAGAATTTTTCAAACAATTAAAGGGAAAAAAAAAATCTTTTAAATGACAATCATTAAAAATTAAGTTTAAGTTAGTTAATTTAACTTCTAGACTGTAACAATTATTACATTATTTACTTCATGGCTAAAAATATCAAAAATACACATTTATCATCATTCAAAAAGCCTGAAAAGGAAGTTAAAAATAATGTAAAAATTTTCAGTATAAACACTATTTTATTAGCAAATGGGGAAAATTACATGAGGAAGAATATATTCAAAATATACATTTTAATAAGAATTAAATACACATGAAAACACTTTCTTTTGGGGGTAAATGAAAGTCCAATTGAATAGGGGGCATTTTGTGACAAAATGCGCAAGCTTTACTAAATAAGTTGGTAAAATTAATATGTAAGGAGAAACAGGGGACATACGTTTAGTTTTCATAACTCATTTGGGAACAAATAAATAAAAAGTTTTTGAAAAGTTGCAGATGTTGCTCAGTTGAGTGATGTATCTTGTGTTAAAATGTTTTCAGTTCAAAATCTTCACAGAAGGAAAATATTCCTAAAAAATTGAAATTAATCAATCAAGGGTGAGCAATTTCATTCACATAAATTATTATATTTGAAAAGGCAACAATCAAGCAGCAAATAATCAAGGTATTTTTTAAAAGAATTACTTTCAACAATATATTATTCATATTACACTTATTTTTCAAATAATTTTTCATTCAGCTCTGTCACAATGTCTGTTGATAAAGGAAATTCTAATTTTTTATTGAGCCTTCTAATATGAGCTAATCAGGACTCTGACCAAATCGGATTGAAAACTCGGATTAAGCAAATAGAAAACTTGAAACAAATAGGGTGCCTGATATAATTTGAAATCTACAAAAAAAGGTTAGAAAATCTAAATAAAGAAGGTTAAAAAAATTAAATAGACCCAATAAATAGATTATCTAGAAAAATATTTAATAACATTTGTAAGATTTAATTTAGGTCTATAGTATCTGAGTTCCAATGTTTAAACAATAAAAAGTATTTATTTAATTTGAATTTCACTAATATAAAATCAGAATGTTTTTAAATATAATACATTACATTATATGTGCCAGTTTAACAGAAAAAACACCTTATTAAGAAAAATTAAATTACATTACGTCTGCGTAAATCTGTAAATATCAATGTATAGCGATTAATGACCTCTAATTTATTTTTTATTTTTAAGCAATGCAGGTAGAAGGTAAAAAAAAATATTTTTAAGTTAATAAAATTTAATGTCGACTTGCCTTAAATCTTCTGATGATGTTCCATCAGAATTCTCATAAGGTACAATACAGCAAAATTATAACAAGGTAATTATCTCAGATTTCTGTTATAACAGTAAGCATTCTTTTTATACAGTAGGCATTTTTACTCTCTTTAGAATGATACAGGGTCATGATTTAAATTACTAACATCTAATACTTTTACCACATACTTTACATTTAAATATTACAACAGCATCTATGAATGAGTTATTTAACTTTAATTATTTATTCTTTGAAAAAAAAAAAACTAAGTTCACAGCTTATACCTCATATCTTTTCTTGAATAAATGGATGTGTTAAAGCTTGATTGATTGATATTCTCTTGGCAGGATCAAGCATCAAAATCTTTTCTAATATATCTTTGAGTTGGCAAACTTTACGATATTGATCATCAGGTAAACGTTGGGAGCCTACAAGCTCTGCCTGCAAATCTCGACTTGGATTAATATTTGTTAGAACTACTACTTTTTCCTGCAAAAAATACATATATATATACAAATGCATACATACAAATATATCTGAAGATTAAACTATGATATAACCAACAAACATATGCATAAAAATTAATTTTACTATGCTGTGTTTTAATTACCTAAATATAATTAAAAAAATTAATTAGTATGGATGAAAGAAAAAAAATCAATAAGAACATGGAAGGCACAATAATAAATTTATCACACATCTAATCGCAAACATTAATAAAATCACATATACTATTCTACATATCAAATAAATCTTACCCTTTCAGTGACTTTGTCCACTTCATGTGAGAGAAAATTACAACTACTATTGAAATGTTGCTCTCGAAAAGCACCTTTTTTAATTATTTTGTTTGGGAACTTTCCTTTTAAATCCATAAAATGCTTTAACATTTGGTTATTGGATTTACCAGCAAACATTATTTTTCCTGTGTACAATTCATATAGCGTGCAACCAACACTCCATGTGTCAATTCCAAAATCATAATTCAAACCTAGAACTGCAAAACCAAAAATTAATAAATCACACACTTGTATGTGTATTATACTAATGTGATTAAAACAAATTATACATTTGTATCAAATCCTATTTTCAAAGAAACATTCTGCAAAATATTGGATTATCTAGAAAAATTATGCCAGTTTTAAAGGAAAATTGAAACATAGTACATTTAAATTTTAATAAACATCTATTAAATAATTTAATAGCTATTTTTACCCTGCAATCTGTCTATTTCCTCTTAATTCTCACATTGTATGAACGCTGAAGAAAAAAAAAAAAAAATTCCCCCCTTGGTCAAAGAAAACCACTAAAGGAATTTTGTACTGATCAAAATAGCTTTTGAGAATGTGGAGCCTAGTGAAAAAGGTGGACAGAATAGCAAATTGCAATATAGCTCTTATTGAGTTATAAAACACATATGACACTGAGCGTGGGGCTGATGAAACAAGATGCAATTTCCGAATCCACCCTTTCTAGACGTTTTTCTTAAATCATTATCATTAATTCTTTTGATATCAAGTAATATTTTCCGAATTTACCATTTAATTGCTTGATAAAATCTTATAATGCAGGATTCCTATCCAATCTCAACTGATACAAAACATAAACTTCTATTAATAACAACTGTTGGTCATTTCAACCATTTTCTATTAGACCTTTTCACTGAACATTCTTACAAATAAATAATTTTTCATTTATCATTACTGCCTGTGTTAAAAACAATATCTCCTTGTTGAAACAGCAAGTCGTTAATTGAAATACAATGTTCCAGATACGCCTCCGTTAACTCACGGAACATATGCTTCAAAATGATTTTGTTTATATAGCCAAGCTTCAAAACACACTTCTGAATGGTGGATTTTAATACTTTTGGTATTTCTCCTAGTTCATGCACCATGGAAAGGGAGTTACTTGGGATCAGTGCTTTAATTTGATATTCATTTGTGGTGAATAACATACTAAGATTTATTTCATGTTCAGGGTTGAACTTATTAACTTTAAACTTAGCAAACTATTTCTGGAGTGTTCTTTCAGTTAAAGCCCTTTAGTTGTAAACAAAGCATGTTGTTTTTCTCTAGTGCAAAGTTTTTCCTTTCTAGTAAGGAAAAAAAAAAAACTTAAATACCTTTAATGTATTTTATATCCTTCCATATTTTAAGCTTTTAAAGCCAACAATAGTTAATATGTCATAAATTATTTTTCTCAGATACATGAAATTCACTCTTTCCTGACACAAATCATTCAGATATTTTAAGAATATTTCCTTAAAATTAAATTCCTAATATTTCGTAATTGAAATTAAATTTTATCTAGAAAAAAAAATTACATAAACTCCTCTCCTTTTAACTATCTAGTCAATAAATTTTGAGATATAATCAAGCTTCTTTCAAGCATAATAAAGTCTTTATGACTCTTATTTAAAGGAATGTTACAGCTAATAAGTTGAAACTGTTTAAATGAAAGAAGTTTTAATTTTAGTTTATATTTTTAAAAATAGCAAATACAGAAAAAAAAACTTACTAATTTCAGGTGCTCTGTAAAATCTGCTCACCAAATATGGTGTGACATCATTTTCAGCAACATGAGACGCAGATCCAAAATCACAAAGCTTTAAGACAAGCTTACGGTCATCTACCTGAAATATTAATTAGGCAGATGTTAAAGATATTTTGCATTTAAATGCAACTAATTTTAAAAATTAACACATCATCTGCAATCAAATGTAACAACAAAATGGAATCAAATATAAAAAATAATCACAATAATTATTTTTCTTCCCTTTACAGTGACACTGAAAAACAAAGTTACCTTAAGTTTACACAAGAAACATGGTTAATTTTAAAAATTAAAAAACACAACTATTGATCATGAGAATAAATTTTAAATAATAAACCTTAACATTTCTTTTTTTTTTTAAATAAAAAAAGAGTAATCAATAACATTTTTAAGCCATAATGCAGGTTTAAGTTTCATGAATATATAAATTAATCTTTTTACCAATATATTATCAGGCTTGATATCTGCATGCAATATATTACATCTTTTCAGTAGTTTCAAAGCCAAAAATAACTGTTGACTGTATGATCGTACTGCTTTGATATGTAGGCCAACATCTTTACCATATTTCTTAAGAACTTCCCTCAGATTCATACTGTAAAAAGAATAAACAGGTACATCTTAAAAAATAAATTTTAAAAAGAAATGTTACTAAAAACATTAATAGGTAATAAATAAATAGAAAATAACAACTCACTGGTTTAGATAGCATTACCAGGCACTTAAAATAAACATAAATTAAAAAAAATTGTACTCCTAATACATAAAATCTTCATTTCTTTTAAACTATTACTAGACCTATCGACTTTATTTTGAATAATTATGAAGCATAGAGAATGATAATTGTCTTGTCTAGATTGCGATGTTTAAATTCCCCCCTCCCTTTTAAAATTTGTAATTGCAATTCTAAAGGAAAACTTTTGATTCACTTTTTCGTTTCATATTTCATTTAAACAAAGGGCAGTACTCAGAAACCATCCTAAAGTTTAAGCACATGTTTATACTTAGGTTAGCACTAAAGGGCTGCCATACATATTCAGATGAAAGTATGAGATTGTGAACATAGTAAAATTATATGATTATTTGGTAAGTTAATGGCGAAAAAATATAGATTTACAATTTTATTCATTAATATATTGTCTTTTATAGTTGTTAGAACTATGCATATGAAAGGTATTGACAGTTTTCCTAATATGATTGAGTAAATTAATTAATTTAAAATTTTTATAAGAATTTTATTCTAAGAGCTACTTGTTGGAACACAATGGTGGCCTTAATTGTATTCAAGTTGTATTTTAACATTAGTCTCTTCTAAACAGGGTTCGTGATTTTTTTGATTTTCTTAAAAAAAATCAAAAAAATCGGATTATTTTGATTTAAATCGGATTTTTTTTATTTAAATCAGATTTTTTTTATTTCTATTCAAAAACACTATAAGAGCTTTAATTTATGATTAAAAAAACCTTATAAATGTTTAATCAAAATTAAATTAATATTAAAACTATATTATAACAATATTTTAGAAGCTCTAACTTACTAAAATAATTTTTCATTATAATGCATAGCGACCATTTTGATACAAGGGCATGATTGAAATTAAAAGACAAGATAAAATAGATAATTTAAAGAATACTACTTTAACTAGTAACACAAAGTTTCAATTAGCACACCATAATTTCAATTTAAAATTGTTATCTCTTTTTTTTTCCTCATGATTTATAAAATGGCAGAATAAATGCAACAGATTGTGTTTATAAATGTTGTCATTCATCAAAAAATAAATACTCAATCTATAAATTTTTATGATAAAATATTCATTTTTAATCCTATATCAAAATACATAAGTTAAGCTAAAAAACATTTTAAAAAAATCTATGTACTCATTGGAATTTTTTTCACAAAAGAAAATCTGATAATTTCAAAGATACAGTAAACATATTATAAGAAGAAAAAAAAATACCAGTTTATAAATCCTACTGCTTCAAATAGACTTTGAAAGGGAAGAATGACACTATATCAGGAAAAAATATCTGAACTCAGCTTCTTTTTTTTTCTTTCTATTTTTGGCATATTAAGGTAATTTCTTTTTAATATTACCTCGAGCTTTAGAAACATAGAAATTTCCATCAATAAACTATAATGTAGATTTGAATTCCATGCTTTTTTAATCAATTTGCTTTTTTTCTTTTTGAAAAAAAATCATGTTTATTTACTTTCTACAGCTATGCAAGTCTATATTAAGACAGCATAAATATTTACTTTAATCTGTACTTTCAATGTTAAGAATCAAAAGATTTTTAAACATGTAATTTCAAATGCGTTTAACACACACCAAGAAAGAAAGTAATTTCGCTAACTAAAATTAATTAATGCAGCAATTTATTTATAATAAATTTTAAAACTAAGAAAAGAAAATAATAAAAGTATCAATACTTAAAGCACTGTTTTTTAACTTTTAAAATCAATATAATATATATATATATAAATTAGTTGATTTAAATCAATGATTTTTTTAAAAAAATCATTTGATTTAAATCATGATTTAAATCGTGATTTAAATCAAGCTGATTTAAATCAACGAACCCTGCTTCTAAAGCTGTAAAATATGTAGTTTTAACTTTTTTTAAAATGAAATATGTTAAAAAACTAAATACGTAATGTTTAAGATATTTTCAAATTAATAAGAATTCGTTTTGACTATGCTTAATGACATTAGTCAGGTCTCCAAGCATGCTTAAGATTTTGGTGTTTGAGGTTTCCACTTTTTAAGCATGTGCTTATTCTAACCACAAATAGTTAGGTTTTTGAATACGAGCCAAAGAATAAAAATTTAGATTTTGTTATCTTCTTTCAATACTATAAAAATAATTTTAAGATTAAAATGTTTTAATACAGAATAATTCTAAACTATTGAAGGGACTCTAAACTAATGAATTGCAATGTTTTAAAAGTAAGCTTAAAGTAGTGTTCTTGACAACGATCACATGTGGGAGATGGCAAGATTTTCGCATGTCACACACATGACAAACTATTCTAATGACAAATTTAAAAATAGTTATATTTATATGACTAATAACAATAACAAAAATATGACTAATAACAATAACTACTAAATTATTACAAAACATCTACAGAAATTAACATTTTTATGAAAAAAATACGATTAAATTATTTTTTTCTTTTGGCTGAATTCATCCATATGTTTTAAAAACACATTTATGCAATTTTAGCTTCCTCTTGCACATGATATTTGGTTTAGTTGTTATAAATATTATATTTTGAGACTTTTAAAATAATCACTATTTTAAAAAATTTTGTGCATTTCATGGAAATTACATAAAGTAATTATTTTCTTTAAAAAAAAAAAGAAGAAAAAGTACACTGAAATGTAATTAATAAAGAAAATGCAGTTGAATATGTCGCACATGACTAGGGAATCACCCACATTCATAATGGATAAAAACCAAAACTATTTCCAGATTTACCCAAATTAGTTCCATGTTGAGCAGGTTTTTAAGATGTGGTCCTACATATAACAAATATTTTTTAAAACGCAACAAAAAAGAAATTATTAAAATAATTCATAAGAATAATACAAATTGTAAAACTTATATTGTTTTAAAATGTCACTTATAGTAACGTATGACAAATGTTACATACCATAGAGGTTCAAAAACTAAGCACAAATGCTGTTTATGAAAGAAGTGCCTATATAGACGTAAACAATGAAACTTATCATCGGGATCAGCATCATTCAAGCGCCGAAGCATTTCCAATTCTTTCAAACCAGTTTTATGCCTAAAAAATCGAGAAATTAAACAAAATAGCAACAGAAATAAAATAAAATTCATTTTTTTTAAAAATTAAGAAATTTAAAATTAAAGGTCAAAATTGTTTTTATAAAAGAGCTATAGAAATTATAAGACATAGTTAATAATAAAAGAGATACAAAAGACTAATGTTACTAACACCTCATAGCTAATCAAAAATGAGATTAAAAATATGTAAAAGAGTCTAATATGTATTCTCTATATATGCAGCTTGCTTTGTAATTAAATCTAACATTGCTTTTGCTACAGCAACAAATAATTGAACATTCCATAACTGCCTAAATTTACTGGGGAATAATTATGATGAAACTAATGCCAAGGAGCTGTATAATAATTAAGAACTTCAACTTAACAATAATTTTTATCATAATTTTCAATTATTACACATTTTAATTAAGATTCTTCGACGCCTTTATAATTTGAAGATTAATGTCAGTACTACTGTCTAACAAATTGAGTGGAAATACTGCAAGCTCATGAATGGGAATTTGAAGAGGCTCTAAATGAGAGACCTTTATTTGAATAAAAGGCCCCTGCACTGAATATTGTTTCGTAAATAAGGTCTGATTGCAACAAAATTTGGGAAGACCCGGAAAATAATTTTATTTGAGAAATAAACAAGAAAATAAATATTCGTGTAGCAATTATTAATAGAGACAAGAAAGGGTTTCCTAGCGTATTAAAAAAAAATTATAAAAAAAGAGGAAGAAAATATAAATTTATTGAAGAGCTAATGTCACCAAGTTAATAAACAATGTAGGGGCTCTGTTCTTTAGTGTATTTGATAAAATTAAAAAAAAAAGAGGAAAAATATAATTTTATCGGAGAGCTAATGTTAAAGTTAATACACATTATTTCATCAAGAAAGTGAAGCATCAAGTTTTATTGTATATCTAGCAAAATAAACTATTTATGCAATAACTGAATAATAAAATATATCTTTATGAAGCAATCTCTTAATTTAAATAAGATTACAAGCAGTCTAAAAATTATATATATGATATATTATAACTTATTATTAACTATTTCTCTAGAAATGAAAGAATAAAACAAAGCTTACATAATTTCATTGTTCCTTATTATTTTGATTGCAACATCTTGATTACCACGAGCCATATCTCTTGCTCTGATAACATTACTAAATACACCTTGTCCTGTGTATCCATACACAGTGTATCTTGAATCGAGAGCTTCTCCAATTCTCACACCTAAAATGAGAATGCCAGTTATAAGAAAAAATACTTGAATTTATGCAAGCATCACCATTTCCTTTTTTTTTTTTTTTACTGATACAGCATTATTAATAGAGTATATCAAGTCACATAACCTTGCACAAAAGTACCACTACAGGAGATCTTTCGAAAAGATCATAGGAACAGGATTGACAAGAGATAGGAACATACCAATAAATTTTTAGTTCATTAACTAAAGGAAGATACTATGCTGAATCGGTTAAAATATTAGATTACGCTATTGTCCAAGATTGTAAAAAGATCTTAATTCATATATGTAAATAACTTCCATTTGAAAAGTACCACAAGACCATCAGCTGTATAAATATTTTGAAAATTAGACTTCAGCTATAAGATAAATGCACTTAAACACGGATGTATAACTATTTTTAAATAAAGAGTCTCAAAAACTAAAATTATGCAATGTTGTACTCTCAGAAATTGCAATTTTTCTAGTTTTGTTTTTTACCTTTATTTTATATTTTTGCACAGGCAAAATTTTTGAAACAGGTTTTCTGTTTCAAAAATTACTTTTGATTTCCTCCTTCACGGTTGCACCAGTTTTCAAAAACTTGAAACACAACTTTTATTACCATCTTCATATTCTTTTTGAAGAAAATGAAGTTTTATATTATCCAATGTCAGGAATTCAAATTTAATTTGCAGGTTAGATAAATGATCTACAGAAGTTAATCTTGCTTTTTGCTCAAGTGCAAGGAATAAATAAATAGAAATATCTAATGCACGAAGTACACATATTAAAAAGAATCATAGTTACAAAGTAATTGATCATGACTAATATCTAGGTATAAACAAGAAAGTAGGGAAAAAAAGAAAAAAGAAAGAACATTAAAATTTTTATTCACTTTTAAAACTTAACTACAGCTGTTTCATAGATCTTTTTTATTTTTATTTACATATTTTTCTTTTTCTTCTTTCCTATATCATTTGTACAAATTCATAAATAATTACATATTATAGAAAGTTCTAAAGCAATAGTCAGAAAAAAACTTACAAAATAAAATGGTTGCTTTTAAAATCTTTAAAAGTGCTATCATCTAGATCAGTAATTTAATGTTACAAGGCATAACTGACACTTTTTGTTTTCTTTTACTCCTACTAGTATTTAAGATAGTTAAATAGTTGAAGATAGTTCAAGGGTTAAATTAAAGGGAGGTTGAGCATTACTGCATTAAAGTAGGTTTTTCTTACTGAAAAAAAATAATAATAATTACATCTTTAGCTCAGAATACTTTACGAAGACCATATTAGAAAAATATTGTCTTCGTGAACTACTCTGAGTAACTTCATTATATTTTTTTGAAAACTAATTAACTATATTAGAAACTGTCTGATGAATGAATGAAATCCAATTGTCAAACGAATTACTAACTTAACAATTTATTTCATATGTACATATTGGTTTTAAACACGTACAAAAAATGAGAAATAAGACCATTTCTTATACTTCTTTTAAATAACTAACAATGTGTATACATTAAATATGAAACTAAGAAGTTTTTGTTTTAACTATTTTATACTTATTTGTTTCAAAGTATTTTTTTCTTTTTTTTAATATTTTTATTTTTATAGAATAACAATGGTTAAGACTGAATTTTTCACCTTTCTGCAAGGAACAAATCAACTATCAATAGAAACTATCAATACAAAACATTTTTTATAAGCAGTTAAAGCAAATTTTTTACTGTAAAATAATTGAAACAGTTTTAAAAATAGCATTAAATTAATAATCAAAGATTACTTTGATACTTTGTGGGTACGATTTAGATAAAAACCAAATGCATTTAAACATTTTATATAATATTACTATCTGATCATTCATGATTACTTTTATTTAGACATTTTACATCATAAGTGATTTAATACTAGCAATTTATTTACAAAAAGTTCAAACAAAATTTCTACACAAATACGCAACTGTTTTTATAAATAATTAAATTTGTGCTTACGATAGTATCCTTCTGCATCATCCCAATTATCAGTTAGATTAGGATTCTCTTGGCCAGATGCAGATATTAAACGAGAAGTCCCTGGGCTCTAAATTTTAAGAGAATATTAACATTACTTATCATCAACAAATATATAAAAAAAAATTATTTTAATTTGTAAAAGAAATAGTTTAAAAGCTATGAAAAGCACTTTTGTTTTCATATAAGCTACAGCTTGATGCTCATTATCAGGACTCATCTTAAACTTTTAGCTGAGATGAGAACTTTTTAAAAATTGTTAGATGTTCAAATTGGTAGTTCTTAAAATATAAAATGTTCAATAATTAGAATAATTTTTTTAAAAAATTACTCCATTAAATAAAACAAATCTAACTAATAAGAATTAAAAATTACATTAAAGAGGTTTTAAATGTTAACAACATATAGTATAAAACATGTAATTTTCTACAAAGTGGTGAACAATGGTTTAAATTTCATTAATTGAAAAACACTGCACTAAAAAATAATTTATGTGAATACTTCAACAATTTTGTTAAAACAGAGCAGAGTCATTTTTTAAAAATAAACATACAAATAACAGTATAAAAGATTGGTATATTATCTTGAGAACACTGTACTTAGCACATAAAAAATAAAGAAACATGTTTTTACCAGGTCTGAACAAAAATTATCTGCCTCAGAAAACATATCGAGCTTCTTTTTCTTCTCAGCTTAAAAAAAAAACAAAAAATTTATATGAAATATGCATAGATTTAATTTATAATACAACAAGATTTATATAATACAACAAGGATTAGTTACCATCAGATATGTTTTCAGCACCAGCTTCTTGCAAACCCATGATTTTTCTTTTGTCCATTATAGACGCTTCAAAATCATTAGACTGATCATCTTGCTCAGCCCAAAAATTAGCAGCAGCCTTAAAATAAAATATGGATTGAAACTTAATATTAAGCCAGAAATGCTGAAATTGCATTGCTTTTTAAAATTCATTAAAACAAGTAGAAAAAAATATTGGAAATTTTTTTCACTTAAAGACTTTTAATTTTAAGCATCAAAAAATTTATTCTTGATTTTTTTTCTAAAATTTAATTTCATGAAAATGAATGCGAATAAGATATATATATAAGAGAATTTATAGTCTCTTACAAAATAAATTATTAATGCTAATTACAGAATTATAACAATCAATTACAGCACAAGCAAAATTCTTAAACGACTACAAAATATATAAATAATTAGTGTAATATTGTCTTATAGCTTGCTCTATTATCAAAAAAGAAAAAAAAAATCGTAATTTCATATTTGATTACATAGAGGCAGTAATCTTTCTTTCCATTAAAAAAAAAACAAGCCTTGTTTACAGATGGAAAGTCTTTTTCTGAATGGAGGAAAGTTCAAAGTGATGTTTCATTAAGTTTGAGTAAATTAAATTGTAAGTTTTTCCTTCTTTTTTTAAGAGAATAGAAAGTAAAGATTATCCTTTGCCTCTACTTTTCATACACATATTCTCCATTAAACCCATAAATCCCTGGAAATCATATTAACTACTCATGTCATAATCTTAAAACTCTAGATTTAATTTTCAAGTTACCAAAAGAAAGGCTAAGCTTACTTGTACATTCATTATCTCCAAAAATATTAAAAATTGTCACTTAGTAACTTCATTTTCTTGAGATAAGTGGTTGTATAATTAAAAAGGAACCAAAATATAATTTTTCTAAAAAAATGTAATTTTGTTCAAAAATTTTACTTGGGACCTCTTCCTTAAAATAATTATGTTTAACAAATTGTTTCAGCAATAAAATATTATAGAAAATGACACATAAATTGAATTTTTTAAGCACAGTCCAACTATAAAAATAAAACACTCATACAAACCACAGTTGTTAGCCAAATTCATCACAAAAAGAAAATAAAAGGCTCTGAAATATAAACATGTAGATAAAAGTATATACAGTCAAACCCTGCTATAGTGAACCTTCAAGGGACTGAAGTTTCGGTTCACTATAAGCGGGAGTTCACCATATCCGTTACGCAGTCAATTTAACTAATGGTTCCTTAACTCCTCCCTTTTATTACACATTACAAATAAATGACTGAAAAATATTATGTAGCGGCAAAAATGTGTTATTTTTCATTACTTTTTGTCTTGCGTACAATAAAATTAGTAATCTTTAGCTGATGAGCAATCCTCACTATCAGATATGGAAACACTTCCCGACTCTCAGATAATTTTACCTGAATTTCTGTTATTCCGCTTTTCAAACCTGTCAAACCTGCCATTCGAGCACATGAAAGTAGTTTCATAAAATCGCTTTGCAAATTCATCGACATTTGCCAGATACTGGAGGATTGCAGCTTCTTCGATTGGTAAACTTAGCAATGCTTCTTCATTATCCTTGTGATCTGCTTTTCTCAACTTTTTTCCACCATCTAAGTTTTTTTCATGAGCAGAAATTATTAATAGCTTTTTTCCCATATGTTACAAACTGCAGATTTGGATACTTTATATTCCCTGCAAATATCAGCTTGATAGCATCCATTTTCAATTATTCTGAGTATGCCCATTTTATCATCAATGGAGAACGTTTTAAGTTTACTGCTAACCATAGTTAAATTTGAGACACTTGTTTGCAGGATTTATTTTAACTGAACTGAAAGCAAAATGGAGTTGAAATGAGGGTCTTATCAACCAACTCTTTAACAAACAGTCACTCATTAACCAATAATGAATAATTACTCATTTCCTCTGAAAAAAAAATGCCTATTGATCTCGCTGACAACTTACAGGTGCATAGTCTGCCTGGGTTAGAAACATCTACTTGGTTTGTTTAGGGATGGGAAAGTGAGATAAAAGAAGCAAACAAGAAAAAATGCTTATCGCTATATTCCCCTCTATAGATGGTTTTGAAAATCGGTATATGCATTTAATTTGAAGTAGAAATTTCAAAATTATTAAAAAAAATTTTTTTTTAAAAATCAGTCGAAGATTAAGTTCACTATATCCAACTTCCTCACTTTTTTGGTTCACTATACCCACAAAAAATAACATTATCCGTGTATAGCAAGGCACGGGACCGAACATTTTGTTCACTATAAACCGTGTTCACTATAGCGGAGTTTGACTGTATATTTAAAAAAAAAAAAAAACTTTTTTATGCTTTACCTCATCACCTATGACAGCTGAATCAGGAGTACTTGTTCCACTGTTTGAGTGTACTGGAGAAGACATTCCACTTCCTGTTTGAGACTGATCAACACCTAATCTCTAAATTTTAAGAAAATTTTAATTAAACAGTTTACTTTTAATACTAACTTTACCAGAAAGAAAAGAATATAATAAAATTTAATTGCCTAATAATAATCTAAATAAATTATATTGTCATGTATGTATTAGAAGGTAAGTTAAGAGGGGAAAAAAACCTTAGTTATATTATTTATACCTAGGTTTGATTAAAATAAAAAAATATATATTCTTTTACAGTAAACAAAGTTGGCGTTGGAAATGAAATTCTAACATAAAGAGTAGAAAAAGTATAAGTAAATGAATATGAAATGCAGTTTATATTTATATAAAAAGACTAATATAATTATAAATTACTTTTAGAAGCTCTTGACGTTGCTGTCTCCTTCTTTGAATAACTGTTTCTTCATCCTCTTCTTCATCTTCTAATTCTAAATCCACATTTCTGTAAATTTAAGTATAAAGACTATTTAAAAGAAGCACTTGAAAAAGAAAAAAAAATTTTAAATCTAAAATAGTTGAGCCCAGAGAAGGAATAAAAAAAATTTTTTGTTTAATTTCTGAGGGGGGGGGAGAAATTTTTATAGATCAAGGGATCATAATAAACAAACAATTATTAAAATATTTAAAATTCAGATACTTCTAAAATCTATCTGCATAATTTTTAAAAAAAATTAGGCAAATTAATTTGCCCTAAACTTTTAACAATCATGTTATACAATAAATGTTTTAACTTTTATTGTATGATTAACTAAACTTTTTACAATCATGTTATACAATAAATGTTTAAACTAATTTTACAGCATGTCATATTTGCGTGATTGATGTTTTTTGAATTTTTTCTTCCTGATATTTCTTGATTCTGCACTGAACTAAACTAGTAATAGAAGTTCAAACTGATATATGAACAGGTTTCAGGCAGTAAACAATAAGAATTTCTGAAAAACATGCACACAAAAAAAGTATGTATTTAAAAAGTACGAGTTTTATTTTTTACATCTTGATATATTTTTTTAAAAAATTGTTTAGTGTTTGAAATCAATTAAATGTGCATGCAAAGCAACCAAAAAATTAATTCTTTTATTTTTATTAAAAAAATTATTCAAAGGTTACTCCTTAAAAAGAAAAGGGAAAAAAATCAACTTTTTTAAAAATGAAATATTTCTATATTCAACATAATATAAAATATATATAACCTATAAATCATTAAAAAATATATGAGTGATAATAATAACACATTTTTCTGTTAGATACATACTGGTCATCAGAGGATTCATCATGCTGTGCTTTTTGCCCTTCAGATAAACTATCTTTAAATTTATCTTTTTCACCTCTTTTATGTTTCCTATCCTGATCTTCTGAGTTTCTAAAAATATGGAACTTTTATGAGTTAACATCTAAAACAAAATTTTAGAAAGAAAAAAAAAACAATGGGACAATAAATTTCATTTGACCTTGGTAAAAAGAAAATAATTCAAAAGGCATAAGAACAATAGCCTAATAAGAAGCAACTCCAGTTATTCATAGCAGCTTTTTCATTGGCTGGCTGAAGCTTAGATCACATATAATTTTTTTTCGTTAAATATTTAATTAGTTACATTATAGATTAGTAAATTAGAGAAAATTTTGTATATAAAGAGTGAAGTAGTTTTGCATAAATAGAGAAAATTTTGCATAAATAGTGAATTAGAATAGAAATTTACAAAATTTTCTCACAAAAGCCTTTTACTCACTTTATCTTACAGAAAGAAAAAAAATATCACCTTTATAAACATTTATGTACAATTAAATATTTATATACTACAATATGAAATACAGAAAGCTTATATTTTACTTAAAATATGTCATGTAATAAATTTATAATTGAGGATTTATGATTTAATACATATAATAAAGATTGAATTATGAATAATACCAATATTTAAAAGTATAAGACATTTCTTCAAAATGTACCTCTTACTGCTCAATTACCTGCTTTTAGATTTATAAGTATGTTTTTAAACTTTTTTTCCTCAGTAAGTTAATATTTGTACAAGGTGTCTCAATATAATTCCAAAATAATATTAATTCCTTTTTATTCAACTTTGAAATTTATACTTATAAGCATATCAGAATTGGCAAGTTTTTGACAAGCGAGTATTTTTACTCAAATACAGAATTGTGGTATGAAAATATTTATTAAATCCTTGCCATTAAAAACATAAAAATAAATAACATTTTTAAGAAATACAAATGTCTTAAATTTACTTATAACATTTTAGTAATATTTAAAAAGAACTAAAAAGAAAAGCTTACAGATTGTTAGACTTTCGTCGAGGACTATTACGAGAATTACGACTTCTAGGTGATCTATCTCTAGATCGTCTTCGATCTCTAAAAGATCGTGGGCTATGAGTTCTTCCATTTCGGTCTGGACTTCGAAGTCTACTATTACTCCCAGGTCGTTGATTATACCTATCATTTGGATGTCTAGGTGACATACGTCTAGGAGGAGACCTTCTATGCCTGTCTGGATAAAAATGGTCAGTAGATCTGCGATTAAGAGGAATCGGGCTTCTTGATCGCCTAGGACTACGCATTTTAGTATCTGGAGATCTGCGATTAGATAACATTGGACTACGAGATCTTGGTACTCTTGGATCTAGTCGGCCTTTGTCTGATTGTCGGTGATATGAAGCTCTAGGTGATGGACTACTACGATTCTGATGCCTAGGAGAAGGCCAATCTTTTCTTTCCCGTCTGTTTTCATATCGAGAAAGTGGAGAACGGCTTCTACCACGAAAATGACGAGACGCATCAACTTTAGGAATAAGTTCATTTCTTGAGGGTGAAAATGATTTTTTCTGTTTAGGTGATTTATCTCGTGAGTGAATACTTTCAGATGATTCATTCTTATCCCTAAAAATCAAAAATTAAGTCAAATTTAGAAATACTAAAATATTTCATTAAAAGAAATTCTACATTTAACTTGGGTGAAGACAATTAACATAGCTATACAGTAGCTACAGCTATTAAATTACACAACTGTTGACAAAATGTATTGAAAACAAAAGAAATGGGTAAAATGTACAGTCAATAATAACACGGCTTAAAACAAAAACTAAATTTTCATTTATCTATTTTAGGCTCATTTGACCTCACAATATTACAGTAAAACCTGTCCATAACAATACTATGTATAGCAATACTGTATAGCGATAAATCTGTTTATAACAATATCTCCTTAAGGTCCTGATGAAATTTATATCTACTCAATATATTCTGAATTTGCTAACAGTGCCTGCTTACATAAGGTTTGACAGACCCAGCCCTAGGGCCCTTCTAATATATTCTATTTGTATTTTTCCCTAAGAATCATCTAGTAGAAATATAAGTTAACAAATAATGAAATTAGTACAAGCTTAAATTTACCTATGTTATAAAAAATTTTAAAAACATTTCATAATTAAACAACAAGTAAAATTGGTTTTAAGTAACAAACAGGGATCTTTCATTACTCTGTGCCTAGAGACCCCTCTTCTAGATCAGGCCTTGCCAGCTTACAATGACAATTGCAAGTTAATTTTCATTTGAAGTTTATAAAAAAAGTTTAAATTATCATTAGTTTTAAACATATATTTTTATAGTTCATATTGTCAATAACGATGACCAGTTTATAACAATATTTTATCTAGGTCATGGTTGCTACAGTATCAGTATTAGATAGGTTTTACTGTATTGATCTTTTTATTTACTACTGATAATTTAAGAAAAAATATCAGTATGAATTCATTTCATTACAAAAAAAATTTTGATAAAGGAGTACTGAATAAAGTTAAAAATTTTCTCAGTGGTACAGAGACATCCCAAAATTTTTCTAAGAAACAGATTATCTATCATAATTAGTTTGCATCAATTGATGTCTGTTCAAGGCGACCCATAATTCTAGCATCGATAATTGTATTAGAACATTTCATTTTATGTACTTCACTTCATTTCCGACATTTGGGTGTGAGGTTGTCAAATTTTACTTCTCATGTTTTAAATAAAATTGCATTTGTTAAATTGTTTCTTAGTGATTCGCTTAAAACACATGCATCTTGTACATTTCTTGGAGGCACACAGACGAGATGTTGAGAGTCTCCTTTTTTTAATTAAGCTTTCTATTGGGATAAGTTTTAAATCAAAATAATGCCTGTTCCTCTGACTCCTAATGCTGATGACCTTCTAGCGCTAAGAGATAGAGCGAGAACTTCAATTACTTGCATAAAAAACTTTTATCAACATGAGAACAAATTTTAATGTTGAACACATAAACTCATTACTTCAGCGCTGAGAATCATCATTTAACGACTTTTTTAAATTATGATAGTCGGCTTTCTGAAGACTGATTTGACCTAGCTCTAGTAGAACAATATTTGGATACGAAAGCGGCCTTGACTCGAGCGTTGAAAGACTGTGAGAGAAGGGCACTCCCTGAATATTGTATGTTGGGTGCTATCTGCTCCTTTCCAAAATATTTTATTACAACTTACTCAGCAACAAAAAAGTTTAGCTGATTTAGTTATTCCTAATATCAAGGCTTCTCACACCAGAGATTTTAATCTGCCAGAAATAAAAATATCCCAAATTTTCTGGATCTTACTTGGAATAGAATAGTTAGTTTCAAGGATTTATATATTTCGAATATTCACAATTATCAACGATTAGTACTAACTAAGTTCAGAAGTTTACATTTTTGAAGTCTCAGTTGATCGGCGATGGTGTTAAGAGTTATTAGACACATTCCTGTAGCGGAGGAAGCTTATGAAGAGGCTTGGAAGGTGATAGCACCATTTGATAAAAAGAAATTGTTTCATCATTGATGGAAACTTTGATTGGCATTCATTTCATCTGTCTACTCCTAATGAAAGGAAATGAAGAACGTTAGCAGACATCGCTGATGAAATTATTAGAAGTTGAAAAGCTATTGATGAAAAAACTGCATTATTGGACACTTGGCTTAATTTTATTTTCGGTCGTTTTTGAAATTAAACAGTTATGGAGTCAAAAGGTGTCTGATGAAGATTTTCCACCTTAGAAATATATAACACTGCAGCTCCAAAAAAAAATAAAAGAATTCCAGTATGAACAATTAAAAAATAAAATGTCCAATGCCTGCTAATGCATATTATTTTAATAAGTTCACAATCTTTTTTCAGTTTCGGATCAAAAGAATTTTGTTAAATGGAAACAATTGTGTTCCCATTGCTTTTGGGTCAACATTCAATTCATGAATGTACATCAACTTACAGGTGCGCAATATGTAAAGGCAAACATAACATTTGTCTTCGTGAAGCTATATTAAATTATCCAGTTGCACCAGAAACAGAATCGGCAAAATATATGTCAACTGGGATAAGTTCTAGCAGTTAGTTGCAAAATTTGAAACCAGCATTACTTCCAACAGCCCAAGTCTATGTCATAGATTGCGCTGGAAATTAACATTAAATAACGTTCTTATTTGATTCCCAATCTGAATGCTCTTTTATTTTACAGCATTGTGACTTATTGGATTTAAAACCTAAAAATATAAGATTTTTAGTTAAAGAAATCGGAGCAACAAATGCAGGTACAGTAATTTTCGGTAGATAGGCCACTGCCTAAACATGTTTAACAGCTGAACTGTCATGATGTGCGGCCTGTGTGCTGATGCAGCCTATACGAAAAATTCATTTTTCCCAAGCCACATTTGATAATTTTTCTATCAAGGTTGATTTATTCAAAAACAGATGTTTGACAAAAATTTTCCGAAATTACGAACCTATTTCGTAATGTTTGCTCAGAAAATGTTTTTCGTTCATATTTTTTTAAAATTAAAATATAGTTTGATTAACTAAGTTTTTAATAGATGAAAAACCGCATGACGTCATCTACAAATGGTGTTACGAATTCCGATTTGTTACTTAAGAATAATTAAATTAGTACACTCTATTTTTAACTCTCTTCTTTTCATCTATATTTTTTTTATAAATATTTTATTTTTAAATTGTCTCAAAACTAGAAAATAAACTCTTTCTGTTCTATGCATCGATTCTTTATTAAGGAGCTAAAATGTATTACAAAGGATAAGTCATTATAAAAGCCCCTTTAAGTCCATTGCTAGTTCTCATTGATAAGAAAGGCATTTCACGTGTAGGAGGACATTCGCAAAACTCTTCTTTAAAATATGATTCCAAACATCCCATCATTTTACCTCGTGAGCATAAATTTAGTGTGGTAAAACAATTTCATGTCTCTTATTTGCATGCTGGTCCAACCATATTCGCAAAGCATTTTGGATTACTGGATGCAGAAAATTAATACAAAGAATAATTCATAAATGCTTAATGTGTCGTAGATATAGAGCTTCTAATTCCCAACAAATTATGGGAAATCTTCCAACAAATAGAGACAAATTCAATCAAGCATTTTTAGTTTGTGGTGTGGACTATGCTGGTTCAACTAATCTTAAAACTCTACGATAGATACTCAAAATTAGTTAAGGGCTATATTGCTTTGTTTGCTATCCCACTTAAGCAGTTCATATCGAAGCTGTTAGTGATCTTACAACAAATGCATTTATTGTTGCACTTTGTCATTTTTCATCACATAGAGGTGCTCCTAAACATATTTACAGTGGCAATGCCACAAATTTTGAAAGGGCAAAACGTAAACTTTATGAAATAGGTAAAATTTTCATTGAAATAAATAACAGTAAGGAAATAAATACTTTGTTAACTCAAATTGTATCAGTTTTAAATTCCAGACCTCTAACTCCAATTTGTGATAATGATATAAATAATTTAGATGCATTAACTCCCTCTCATTTCTTATTAGGAGAAATGATAACACCCCCCTTTGAAAAATTAGACGATTCAGACAATATGAATTACCTATATACACTGAGAACTTATTCAAAAACTAAAAAACAGGTTTTGGAAATGATGGCATACTGAGTATTTAAATGCACTTCAGCAGCAAAAGAAATGGAAAAGCAAACAACCTTGTTTATCTTTGGGTGACATAGTACTGATGAAAGAGGACAATCCACCTGCTACATGGCCTGTAGGCAGAATAAATTAAGTATATCCAGGTAAAGATGATATTGTTCGAGTTGTTACAGTAAAAACTGCAAAAGGACTTTACAAGTGACCAATAGTTAAATTAGTCAAGTTGCTACTTGTGAATCAAGAATGAATTGGTGATTGGGTAGGAGAATGTTCAAGGTGACTCATAGGTGTGTCTAATTCCTGCATTTATAATTTTATCAAAACTACATTTTGTTTCTTGTACTTCACTTCTTTTCAGACATTTGTGACTTGAGGCTGTAAAATTTTACTTTGCATGTTTCAAATAAAATTATATTTGTCCAACTGTTTCTTAGTGATTTGTTTCGATCCCATGCATCTTGTACAATGTCAAAAATTTTTCTAAAAAATTGATAAAATGAATATTTCTAAAAGTACACATCAAATTATTATGTGAAAATGCTAGACAAACTTAGGGGAAAAAAATCGACATTTGTAAATGCAAATACATTTACAATTGTGGATAAAAAAAAATTTCTGATGTATACCATCAACAACAAAATTTTTTTCACTCTATCATCTTAATAATCATAAAAAAATATGGTCTCAATCAAAAAAAAATTCAGAACAATACAGCTGAAGAGATACAGAGTGTATTACGAATAATACAATCTGCAGTATAAAAATACAGTATAGTCTACAGTATAAAAATACATTACAGTTTGCAGTATAAAAATACATAGTAAAAATACAAAACATTCCTACAAAATAAACATAAACAGTATGTAAAATGTTTTTATGTTTTTACAAACACATTCTTATATTATAAAAATCTAAATATATTCTTACATTATAAAAATATAAATACATTGCTACAGTGTAAAAATATAAATGTTAGTTCAAACTAAATAATGAAATTATCAGAGTTCAATGTAGAAATACAGTGTTGAATAAAAAATTTATTATTTTCTCAGCATAAAACTATGAAATGAAATTGTTATAACTGAAATAATTAAAAATATACATACCGTCGAGAAATGCTTTTGTCTCTACTATCTCTTATGGAATTGTTATCTCTAGGCAAAATTCCAAGACGAGCATGGACTGATGGTTTGTCTTGAACATCTTTTGTACTTTTATGGTCTTTATGGCTGCTTTTCTTTCTAGGTTCAGTCTTAGCATTAGTTTTATCAGTCTTTTGAACAAGCCTTACCTCAGATGCAAATGAGGTAGTTACCCTAAGGGTCTCCTCATGCTGATTCATCAAATCAAACACAAATGGACTAGCTTCATCAGAACTGCCATATTCTGCAGAAACTAAAGAGGCCTGAGCTTCCACTTTGGCTAATTTAGCTTCTAATAAAGCTTTTTGCTTTTCAAGTTCTTCCAACCCCATATTATTAACTTCTTCTTTATCAATGTGAGTACGGTGTTTATGCTTGTGATGGCTATCACCACTTTTTTTTAATTTATGAGAAGAATGCTTATGCTTGTGTTTATGTTTATGGTGCTTCTTTTTCTTCTTTTTTGAATTTAGGTCAGACGATTTATGCTTTGCTGCAGACTTTTCTTCATCTGACTCAGAGTCAGTACTGTAAAATTAAGGAATAATTAATTACTTTTTAGAATAAGCAAATAAACATACAATTCATTCAATTAATTTTTATTTTCCATTAACTGTCAAAATCCATTCTGACATATTATGTTAGAAAAAAAAAGCACAATTATTAAAAAAAAAAAAACATGCATTGCACATCATAATTTCGAGCAGATAAGCTGCAGCATTTATGATTTAAAATAAAACTTTAATTTTTGAAATGTGATGCATATTTAATGAGCCTATCAGGTAATTTTGCATATTGTAAAAAAAATAAATAATAATAATTTCCAAAACCACCAGGGAATGCATCGTAGAAACTTCAACAAAAAAATATTAAAGAACAGCTTGGATCACATTTCAAAAATTAGCAAAGATAAAATTATTATTAGCATTAGATAAAATTAGCAAAAATAAAGCATGTAAAAAAATTAATAATAAATGTGCCAATTGAATCTTGCGTGTTGTAAGAATATATTAAAAATATGAGATTTTCAAAATCACATGGGAAAGAGGAACAGTAACCGCCTTTTAAAAAAATCAAAACACAATTAAATCTGTTAATGGATAAAATCTGCACAAATAAAACTTGTCAAAAAGTAATAAATTAAATGTAAGACTTGAGTTGTAATACCATAATAGATGCAGTAGGATTTAAAAAACCACATAATATAGGTACTATAATTATAAGTTAAAAACACTAAAAAATCAATCAAAGCCAAACATCAATTTATCATGAAATCGGCAACAATAAAGCAAGCCAAAAAGCTATTACTTAAATTGGAAATTTGGATATTGTAATATCTTATTAAAAATATTGAGTTTCTTAAAATCGTGGAAAATTTCGTAGTGATAATCGCTCAAAAAAGAAACGAAAACAACGTAGATTGATTTACAATAGAATCTGCACACAGAGCGCATCAAAAAGTGATGAATTCAGGGTGCAAGTTAAAATTTGACCTCTTTTTTAGTTAAAAAACAAACAACTTATTTTTCATTGTGTTCAAAAGCTCTTGCACATGCTTCGTTAAATATGAAGTCAAAAAATTACACTAATTAAGATCGATAACTTTTTGTGCAAATAGGATGTAATTTCCTTATATAAACACATTTATCTTTAAANATAATCGCTCAAAAAAGAAACGAAAACAACGTAGATTTACAATAGAATCTACACACAGAGCACATCAAAAAGTGATGACTTCAGGGTGCAAGGTAAAATTTAACCTTTTTTTTAGTTAAAAAAAAACTTATATTTCATTGTGTTCAAAAGCTCTTGCACATGCTTCGTTAAATATGAAGTCAAAAAATTATACTAATTAAAATCGGAAATTGATTCTAAATGATTAATCATAAGAATAAAAGTAGGCATAAATTGTACTTAATGGAGCTAATACCTAATTTTCTCTGCAAATAGCATGTAATTTCCTTATATACACACATTTATCTCTAAATAAGTATTTATATATAAATTTATATCAACTAAAAAAGATAACCAGCTAAAACATGCTTTAAATGGAATTATTAATTTAAATGGATGTTTTAAATCAGGTGTCTGTCTAGGTTTTTCTAAAAAATTTAGACATAATTTGTGAAAATTAAAAATTATATTAAAAAATCAACACTGAAATATGGTAAAAATATGGATTTATTGTTTCTTATGGGATACAAAAATAAATATTTAAGAAAAAGTATTTTGTGAAACTACCGTTTTTCCTAAAGTTGAATTTGTGAAGGTACCGCTAAACGGTAGTAAATTTGGCCTGGACAGACCCCTGTAAATAGAATCTTTAAATAACAAACTTTTATTGTCAGTCATTTTAGTGCTGAGCCATATTAAATGTAGTAATAGGTGCTATAGTAAGGCTCAAAATTTACAGCAGTCCAAGACTACTAAAATTTGACTAGGGTCATCATAAAATAATTATCAAGCCTAAACCACAAAGGATCATGTAGTTTTGGTCTTTTGATTTTCAGATTAATGTTTTTGGTCTGTAATTTCAACACAAAAAGAACATATTTTATCATAATTGTGATGTAACATATTTTTCGTATTGTAAGTAGTGTTTGATTCCAATTCACTTTATTATTTTTCACAATAAAGTCAAATAGAGACATATTAAAGGATTAATAAAAATCTGTAAGGACCAATAATGTCTTCTAGTTAATTTTTTTCCTAATTTCTACACCTATACTATGGCATTGTGATAATGCCCTTAACAATAGTTCACTATTCCCTAAAACAGACAAGTACCAAATCAAAGTTTTAATTAAAGAACAACTATCCAAAAAAATTAAATAGAAAATGAGCAATGATTATTACAATGTTAAATTTTGTGCTGTAACATATAACCTTGAATTTTTTTTAATCAAACTGAAGGAACAATAGTAAAATTTTTTGGAATTTATTACAGCAGTTTTTATTTCCTTATTCCCCAAAATGATGTTATATATTGCGCTATAAATATTTAACCAATAATAGGACAATTAGAGGGGCTCCCGAAACTTATTATACTGGTATTTTTTGGATCGACTAATTAGTCGTGTTTACCGTTGTGTAATACGTACGAAAACTTTATAAAGTAAGTTATTGACATTTATTAGTGTATAAACTCTTAAACATAAGTGTTGATATGATAAAACAAATGTTCGGAGTTAATAAATGATATCCTTTAAAGCAAATGAATCTTGGAATCAAAAATTGTAACTTTCCTCCGAAATTTTATGAGTGCAGATTCAGTATGAAAAACTACGTAGATAATTTTCATTTCCACAAAATATCAGGAGTAAGATTATGCCCTAAAGAAACATAATACATTGCATTTTAATTGCGCAAAAAGGGGAGAAAATTCTCTTTTAAGATTAAATTCATATATCGAGTAAAATCAACACAAGCAATAAAGCAATCAACTTATGAAATAACTAGAACAGCGACTGTTAGCTTTAAAAGCTAAGCACAGAACAAAAATACTTTGTAAACTAGTTAATAAATTAAGTTATCATTTATATATTTATCTTACCTTAATATCATTTTACCGTTCGGAAGCAACATAGCGTCAGACATTTTACTTTTTGAATGATTGGTTGCCATTTAATTTTTGTTGATGATAAATTTCGAACGATGTCCGCTAAAGTCGATTTTTGGAGTATTAGTGAGTAATGTCAACATTTGAAATGTACTTCTACTCTCAAAAATTTGTGATTGGTGATGTGATGTTGTGATCTAGCGGCTTTTCATGGATTTTATTAAATAACTGTTACAAGATACAATGGTTGTAATTGATCTAAAAGTTAATAAAAGTCTGTTAGACTTGAAATTTGAAGGCTATAAATTGTCACTAAGTCCAATTCCTGTTCTTAAGCAACCTTTACTGGATGGTTGGTTAATGAATATATCTTAATTATAAACTACTCTGAAATTAACCCTTGTAAAATATATCTCATCAAAATATTATATGGAAAAGATCATATCTAATGAGAAAAAAAATTTTAATTAGTGTTTTTTGCTAGCATATCTTGATATATCGTTTTATTTATTTGATTTAAAAATAAAATTATCTGGAACATTTCATTTTATGTTGCACCATTATTTGTAACAGTGTATCTAATCAGAATAATTCAACATGTTTTATTATTGGTTATCATTATTTTAACGAATTATGTTGTTGATTTTTTAATATTTATTCAACATTAGTTAACTTTGTCAGATTGCTAATTTATGTATTAATTCAAAATTGTTACTATTACTATACTGCAGCATCTATTGGTAAATAAAGAGCTTTTTCTAAAGCAATGATAAACTACACATGTTTTTCTGTTCATTTTTAAAAATTTTTTAGCAACAATATAACAAACTTTGTTTTGATGAAACTAGTATTTTTGATATTTTTTTAACTGTTAGATGTTCGTTATTAGCACAACAGCCCATTGTGGGCCCTAGCCTGCCACACAATGTTTCTCCAGACAGCTCTGTCCCTAACCTTGATCTTTCACTTGAAGATCTTTTAAAGTTTTTAAATCATTCAAGACATGATCCAGCCACCTTTTCTTTGGTCTGCCTCTTGGCTTATTGCACATGGGCTTCCAATGTAACATCTTTACCACTTGAATGTCAGACGATTCCTCAATGTGATCAAGCCACGAAAGTCTCCGTGCTTTGATGAATTTTATTATGTTTCTATGCTTAATAAGAGCTTCCAGTTTAACAATGGTTCTTATTCTCCGATAATTATTAGTTAGCTGTTTTGGGCCATATTTTTTCTAAGTATTTTTTATTCAAAAATTAGTAAATCAATTATGCCTCTTTGTATCGCAGCCATAACAACAGTTAGATGTTAAAAAATATAGGGCATTAAGTATTTTACTCTGAATTTAATTAATTCTAAACGTATTTGTTAAAACGATACAAAATATTCTACAATTTTTAAAAGCATTAATATTTTTTTCTTCTTTTTTTAGTTTTTTAACAATTATATTTTCTTAATGTATTAATTATTAATACATTAAAAGAAGTTAAAGTTACAGTTGCTTTAAGTATAGAAAAGTTTTATTATTAACTTAACTTTTAGATATCACTATAAAGCAAAATTGCTTATGTAGCAATTTTGCTATTTTTATTCACTTATTTGCTTCGAAATATCATAATCCTATTATTTTTATAGAATTCATGTGCTTATTTTTCAGACGTTGAGGCAACAGATACAAATACTGATTAAATTTAGAACAGGATTTATCATTTGCCTGGTTGTTAAATTTTTACTTTCATTTATGAGTTAATAATTTACTATTTTCAATTATTTCTAGACTTTTAATTTTTAAATGACCTGCTATTTTGTAGACAAAGATAAAAATATTGTGTTCCATTGCATAATAAGGTGGATTTAAAAGAAAATAGCTCCAGATTAACTCATAAATACCTTAGATATTTTATTAAAAAGCTGAGAAAATTACAGATTAACTTAGATTAAAAAGGTTTAAAAGAGATTTATATATTTGATTTCATATAAATTTTAAAGATAATTTACAAAACCATAAAAATAAAAACCTGTGAGACTCATAATTTTTGTAAAAATTTTAATTAATTTTGCACAGTTTTCTTAAAATTTTTTTCTAAAAAGTTAAAATTATGACTTTTGTGAAAGATTTTTGTTAAATTGTTATTATTATTTTATAATATTGTTATTAGGTATATATTAAGTTTACCCATGTTTAACTTTCAGGTGTAAAATGTGTTGCATTAAACAATGATGAATATAGTTTTATTCAAACCCGTATGAATCTTTCTTTAAATCATTTATTTCAAGACCCATGGAATCAAAACAGTGTCTTTTATGTAAATGAAAGAAACTCTGTGATCTGGACTGCTTTAGGACAAGTATGTTTTTCTTTCTTCTTTTTTTTAAAATTTCGTTATGACAAATCATTTTTCTTGTTTTAGTATTAAGAATTAGTGTTTAGTAATTTAAAAAAAATTTATAAATACTATAAAAATGTATAATACTAAATGCTATCTTTTTTTAACTCTCTATTAATTTGCAGTCATAAATGTAGTTAAAATTAATAGAAAAGCAAATGACATATTTATATATTTCCCTAATAAGGAAGTGAGAAAAAAAGTTAGTAAGATTGTGATGATTTAAATTGGAAGAACATATTTTGCTTGAACTGTTGGTTTGATATCTTTAAATAAAATTGTGTGTGCTTCAAAATTACTTTTCAATCTGGTTTATTTTCATATGCAATTTTTATGAATTAAAAGACGTTACTAAAATTTGAAAAAGTGAATATCATACCTGTTTCTGTGTGCGACCAAACTTTTCTTAATCCTTCTCATTGTGATGCCACCTAAATTTTAGTCTCTCTTCCAGAACTAGAAAGAAAGAAAAAAACTTTTTCTTTATAAATTTAATTTTCTAACAAAATGTGTAGAATCTTTTTTCCTTTATAATATTCATAATTTATTGAATTGTTGAAAGTAAGTTCTATTTTTACCTTATAAGCAATGATGGAATTTAAATAATTCTAGAGCCAGTATACTTTAAAAATATTCACGATTTCTTAAACAAAATTTTTTTTATATATATAATTGAATTTTTATCAGTTTGTTTGTGTGTGATGCCATCTATTTGTTTGTGTATGAAACCATTGATCTGATTGCCATGAAATTCAACACACTAATAGTTTGAAGATCATTTTTGATATTAGAACTTTCTGTGGAAGGAAAAGATAGGTGAAAAGCCAATTTTCTTATAGAATTACCATTTATTATTGAATGTTATTATACTGTTCAACCTCGTAAATCTCTGTGGTTTGAAAGGTCCAGATTTCCCAAATTTCCGAATTTTATATATTTTATGTGAACGGAAAGAATTATCAAAGCTCTGAATTCACCGGCTGATACCGCAATTTAACGTGGGCATGTGTGTGTGTTTACCTCCGACGTCTATTGAAAAACTTTACATAGATACACATGCTAAACAATAAATAGGAGATATTTAAAATGATGTAAAGACAAAAGTCATTAAATAATAATGTATTTAAATCAACACAATTAGTTACTGTTAACTAAATCTTGTCTTAAACATTTCAAAAATCGTAAGTTGTTTCATAGATTTCTTATTGGTAAACTATGATTAGAAATTATGCAATTATTAATAAGGTTGATGTTTAAGTATGCAATTTTAATGATTTTAGAAAATTAATTTTTTTTTAAAAAGAGAGAGAGAGAGAGAAACATGACATATTTTTAGCCACAGGTTTGCCCGAAATGGATTTGCATTTGGTAAAAATTATATGAATTAATAAAGAAGTTTTTAGTAAATTTATTTATGATTTGCCAAATATATATATATACACACACAATCAGGTTTTTTTTACTATATAATTATAACTATATTTTTTTCCCATTTATGGGAGTAGCATATATGCTCCTTAAACTGATTATGCTACTCTTGTATATCATTAATCACACTCAGGTAATCACCATTTATAATTGTAGGATTAAAGGGAAATCTATAATTTATTTTTATTTTTAAAGATATAATTTTTAGTTTTTATATTTGTTCTTAATTTTATTATTGTAGGATGGACGTTTATCTAGTGCTCGATGTGTTTGGGAAATCAGTTCGGAAGTACTGGATGAGGGTAATATCACTATCTTGTTTCCTAGTGTGGATTGGGCTATCTTATGCAGTGGCAAAGGCTGCCTCTTTGTGCTTTACACTCCTAGTCGAGCAGCAGGAGAACCCTGGATGGTAAATTTAAAAATTGTATTACTGATTTTTTTTTTAATTGGTGTAAATTATTACAATTATCTGTCTTGTTAATTTTATGTGATATGGATTATTATTTAAAAATATTTTTAGTTTGAAAAAAGAATTTTAATTATGTAGGCATTGAGTTACTCTATGTCCAATTAACTGGATTGATCAAGATTCATGCACTTTTCCTCTGAATTTTGCAAAGAGAAAATCTCTCATTACCTGCTACACAGAAATCTAAAATCACCATATAAGGTCGTTACTTTGTGACAAGTGTGGTGATTTTGTGGCACACTAGATTTCTGGAGTTAAAAGGCATTTAATGATAACAGAAACAAAGATAATTATTCCAGAATTTTTTGTTAATTCCAAAGGCAGTATTAGGTTATGAAACAGCTGTCAATTCTGTGATAATTTATACCCATTTATACAATTAAGGCCTTTTCAAGACCTCATGTGAGGAACTGATCACATATTTCAACAAAGCAATGCCTCAATACATTCTTCTCGTTCAACAAAAAAATGACCTTTTTCAACAAAATGTTCTGGTACTAAAGAGGCATGGCTTGAGCCCTAACTTAAATCCAATTAGGAACGTTTGGACATACATGATAGTACCTCTACTTACATGACTTGTAACAAAGATAAAAAGTACATACTTTTACTTGTACTTCATTACTTTTTAAATTTAGTACTTTGACTTTTTTTTGTTACTTTTTTAGGGAAAAAGTACAAGTATTTGTAACAAGACTGTTGGAAGAAATCGTTACTTATTTCTGAAATTTTTAAAAAGTTTTTCTCGAAAAAAATTATTTTTAGTTTAAAATATTTTGAAATATTGATTTATAATTTTGTATTTCAAAAATTATTACAATAGTTACAATTTCTGAAAAAAATGAAGCATTAATGCGTTATATTGAATTCTAAAAATTTAATATTTTAATTAATATTAATTTGTTATGTTTTTATTTAATTATGTTATATTTAATTATGTTTTTTCTCATTTTAGTGTTATTCTACTTTTGATCTAAAAATGAAAAATACTTGTTATTTGTTGCATACTACTCATCGTAATACTCCTGGAGGTCAACAGTTAGATTGTGTNGGCTTGAAATGTGTGCTGTAATGATACAGATATAAATTTAAATTAATGCGTTATATTGAATTCTAAAAATTTAATATTAATTAAATTATGTTTTTTCTCATTTTAGTGTTATTCTACTTTTGATCTAAAAATGAAAAATACTTGTTATTTGTTGCATACTACTCATCGTAATACTCCTGGAGGTCAACAGTTAGATTGTGTTGTTGCAACATCTGAACACAAATCGAATTTGCCAAATGATTGTTTACTAACAGAAGTCAATACTTTTGTTTCATTGCTGCAGTGGATCTCTTTAAATTGTGGTAAAAAAATTTCATTTTTTTAATCACTTTATTTTACCACAGTTCTTCCAGACGTCGGAAAGTTACTGCCTTTTTTTCATGTTTATGCACACTTAAAGTATTGAGTTTTAATTTATGAAACCTAAAAAAGAGTAAGGATTTTTATTAGAGGGTTTGTAAGAAAATATGCATAAAAATTTTCTCCATTTAATTTATATATTATTAAAAATGATCAATTTTAGTAAAAATTAATTTAAATTCGCACTAATCTGCATTGCCAATTATTTTTGAAATTCCTGGTTTTAAAGCAAGCCAGTTTTTATATATATGTATGGTTCAAAATAAATTTTCACCTAAAAATGTAAATTTTATGCCTAGAAAATTATATTGAGTATTGGCAGGTGACTGTGTCAAAACCAGATATTCAAAATTGAGCTATAACTTTTTTTGAAGTGTTAGATTCATGACAATTCAATCTTAATTCCTAGTCATTTTTATGATAGTTTATATTGAAGTTCGGATTTTTTTAGTCTTTTTCATGTGGTTTTTCAAATTCTGATATTTTTAACACTATGTTATAATGACGTGCGAATTTCAAATTTCTGCTATCACTTCTTTGTGCTTTTAGTTTGCAATGATCCTGTCGTAAATTCACAATGTTTTCTGATTGTCTTTCTTTTTACCATTTCTTCTTGTTTTTCTTATTCTGATAGTCTGTATATGATGTTATTATGACAAGCTTGTATTCCAATTTAGGATGTCACTTTTTGACGTGCTAAATTTGCAATGATTCTATTGTAAAACCATGTTTGTGGATCATCTTTAGGTGGTTATTTATTGTTTTTTAGCTATTTCAATGAGTTTTTTTTTTTCAATTATAAAATTTTTGATGCAGTGTTATGGCTAGCTAGTAAATTTTGTAGTAATCAATTCTTTATGCACTTGGTTCATGACTATTCTATTATATATTCACATTAATTTCTGATCGCTTTTTTGGCAGTTAGTTACTTTTCCTTTTCCAGCCATTTCAACGTTTTTCTAAAATTCTGATATTTTTAATGCATTGCTATTATGATCTTCATTTTTAAATTTGAGAATTACACTTATTTTAAAATTGATTTATGTAATGTGCGAATTTAGCTAAGGAACTATTTTTTACTTAATCTATTTCTCTGAGAAAAAAAAAAGATTTTTTTCATGATAAAATTAAAAACTTAACTTATTTTGGGTTTATTAAAAGCTATTCAAATTTTTATGAAATATAATGCCTTCTTTTGTGACAGGTGCCCTTTTTGGGGAATATAGTGCCCTTTTCAAAGTCTGAAATGAACTCTGAAGAAGTTTTATGCCTCAATGAAAATTACACCTAGCAGAACCATTTTCGTTCTTGAGAAAAATGAGTAAGAGAGAGTCAAAATAAAATTTCAAAAATCTTAAATAAAATTTTAAAAAATAATTACTATTAGAAAATTTAGCAGCAAAGAGATACAATCTCGTAATCAGCTCACGCGATTAAAATTGTATAAATAGAGCCAAAACAAAATCTATCAATACAATAGTGTGAGGAACACCAAAAGAAGAAAGAGAGAGTGGGAGAGAACCAATTAGTAAACAAAACTTTATCAAGTCAGGGATGAGATTCTTCCGCGGATTCGCGGATTTCCGCTTTTTTTCAGATTTTTCCTTTTTTCCCGCTAATTTCCGCTGAAATTTTTTTTTTTGCACAAGCTAAAGTATTTTATGAGGAATTTAATTTTCCACGGAGCGAAATTATTGAAGTCCTTATNAAATTCGATGTAGAGTTTCATATTTACGTGATTTAAAAGCCTCATATCGGGATTTATAATCACATGGTTTACAAGTTAAAAAAGCGCACTTTTTTTGTCAAATTTTTGTTTATACATATATATCTTAAATCTTCTTGGATTTCCTCTTTTTTACTTTCTGACTACTCTCATCCCTGTCAAGTTAAAATATCTCAAAAATTTAAAATAAACTACAAATTAGAATATATAAGGCAAAAAGGGACAAAGGATGTCATGTAATTATGAGTAACTTTCAAAAATGACCTAAATATTCTCGTAACCAAGTTACCAGATCACAAAATATGAAATTAATTAAAGCATAAATAGAGGGTAGTACAGGGTTGCCACAGGTGACTAAAATGCAACTATTTTTGGCATGAGGCGACTGTGGCAACTTTTTTTGTTTGAAACGGCTAAAAAAGCAACTATTTTTAGGAAGAGGAGACTATTGGGAGACTTTTCTGTACTCATAGCGATGTTTTTTTTAGCAGGAATTGGGTTTAAAATCTGCAGCCCATGATAGCTTTGAATACACTGAACTTTTTTTCTTAAAAAACAACATATGTTGAAAATTTTTTAATTGCAAATTTGAGTCTTCGCTTTCTAATTCCTTCAATCTGCAGATTCCTTTGTAAGTCTATTTAGTTTCTCGGTCGCTTTTTCAATGGTTATTGCTTCGAAATTCCGCATGATTTAAAAAAATTTCGATACGATATTACGATGTCTGAATTTGGAATTTGAGTAATCACTTTTCACAATGTATATATGTGTGTATATATATATATTTCTTAGATAAATTATTGATAAAAGGGAAAATTGTGCTAAAACTTTAACGTTTTTATAAAAATTATCATATTTACCACCAACTTGACTAAATGTATCATGGCAAATTTAATAAGTCATTAACAAAATTTTAGTCATATTTTTAATGAATTTTTGATCTTATTTAGGCAACTATTTTCATAGTTTTCAGCAACTATTTTCTTGCTTTAGGCTACTAAAAGCAACTATTTCGTCCATTTCTTTTCTGTGGCACCCTGTAGTTGGATATATTTTTAAAGTACGTTCATTCTTAAGTAAAGAACCACATTTGATTTGTCAGTTACTTTGATTGGCTCAAAAACTGGGTTTGCGCAAGGCAAATATTATACTGAATTGTTCAAAGATTATAATTAATAAAAGGTTGAATTTTAAATACAAAATTTTAATTCAGTGATTTTTATAGAAATTCTTAATATCTATTGAATAAGATTAATTATTAACTTAAATATTGTAAGAGGTTGTTTGTTCCTTTTCAAGGTTGGTTCCTATTTTTTCCTATTTTTTAAAAACATTTTAAGTACAAAAAAAAAATATATTCAACAAAATCTGTTGAATAGCTCCTGAGAAATTGAATTTAAAAAAAGTCTGATATTTGAAATTCTATTCCTCGGGAACTATTCGACCGATATTGCGCAAATTTTGTATTTTGTCCTGTAAAATTATATTTGTTAAAATGATGGGCTTGAAATGTGTGCTGTAAATGTGAAATTTAGCATTTTAGAGCGTCCTTTTTAAAACATATTTACTAATTCACCATGATACCAATAAAAATTTAAAATATCACAGAAAATTGTTTTTATTAAATTCAACAACAAGAAAGTTCAAAACAGTATTTCCTTACTGGATTTTTATTTTATTTTGATTTTTAATTCCTGTTTCATAATGCATTCTAGGCCAAAACAATCAGGAATGGATGATAAGAAGAACTCGAAAACTAGCTGGTCTATCTTTTCCTGAATATGTTGCGATTGATAATATTCAAGATGCTATATGTGTAGTTTCTCAGAATGATTTTGAATTTTACTTTGATTCTAATGGATCAGTTAATGTTCCTCAAGTTTCTGATAAGAAAGGTAAGCTAATTTTAGTATAACTTTTATTGGTATTGGATTTTTCAGAGGGTACTTAAAGAAGGATAACTTTTTAAAATAAAAATAAAAAAGAATGTACTTTGTGCTCTAAACTGTTATCAGTTTTTTCTATGTCAATTAAATTTTTTCCCTAGAGTGTTTTCAACTCTAGTGGTTTTAAATTTTTTCTGGTTGTGGAATCCTAAATGATCGACCTCCTCTTGGATGAACTCTAAAATTTAATAAATACATTTTATTAGCAATTGTGAACTTATTAATTAACAAAAGACTTTTCATTATTTTGAAAATAATAATTATATAAATTTTATTAATTATTTAGTGAATGACTGAGGAATGAAATTTTTCATCATATCTTTTTGTAAATATCATTCTTAAAATTGGGTTTTATGTCAGACAGTTAAATTCACAGATCTGGAGTAGTATCTTTACTGTAAAAAATATTAGATCAAATAATGATAAGAAGTTCCGGGACATTACTTTTTACCGTAAAATCCAATTTTGCCAGAAATGATGAATCAACAAAATTTTTACAGTAATAATTACTGTAAAATAACTGAATCACTCTAATTAAGTAAATATTACTATAAACATTACGGTTTAATATTTTAATCCAAAAATGAATTTTACAGATGATGCATCCAAAGTGTACTTAATGCTGTAATTTGATCCGTATTTTTTTGCAATGTAGTCTAGTTCTGCATACATAAACTGAAAATGAATGAGCTGAAATATGGCTTAATTTTAAATAAAAACGAAATAAAATAAACGATGAAAATGGTTATCAGAAGAACGTACTTCTTTATTGGTGATCCATACAAATTACTTATGGAATATTTCCTAAATGGGCGTAAATCCCTGTGGCAGCTATCTGCAACAAAACTCTCTAGCTGTAATATCTTTCTGCAAGATACTTTTAATAATAACAAACATGTATGTTGCTAATTTAAAATAACAAAAGTGCCGTATTTACGAGAAAAAAAACTATTATAATTTATTTTAATTCATAATTGAACATGTAATAACTTTTTATTCTAATATTATGAGTGATATTCTCACATTTTGTTGGGGGGGGGGAATGTGCTAATTATTTCTTTCTTTGCGTTTTGTAAATAATCATCACAATAAAAAAATAATTAAAAATCATTAAATCTATATATTGCCGAAAAAAAGATAGACGACAAAATTAAGCGAATCAGACTCCTCAAAAAGGGGTTACTCAAATGCGTGTTTTGTTTCAAGATTAGGATGTTGTAATAAACAATATTGTATAAAAAAATATGGGATTTAAAAACTATGAAGAAATCAATAGCAATAACTGCCAAAAATTTGATAGATTCATTGCCTTAGAAAGTGAATACTCAAATGCACAATTCAAATTTTCCATGTTGTTTGAAATATATTATGATTTTTAAAAACCACATGAAAATCAATATTAATAATGGCTGAAAATTCAATCGAAATATTACAACAATTTAAGATACTATTGGTGTAAATTGAGTGTGTCCAAAAGTGATTATATCTCATTTATTATATTGCTATTAGAAAAAAACATTATTTTGAAATTTCTTTCTTCACAAGCATTTCAATTAAATAATTTCGTAAAAATAAAGGAAATTTTAAATAATTCATCGATTGTTAATTAGATATAAATTTAATGACAGGTTTTAAAAATCATTATTTAAAAAATTTATGAATTATATTATTTATAAATTATTATAATATTGATAAAATTTACTAACTCTCTGAACTCTTGTAACTTTTCCTTAAAACCCCAGGGTTTTGTATAACACCAATTGGCAAACTCTAATCTAAGTAATCTATCTATGCATTGCGACTAAATAACTGATAACTTGTGACTAAATAATCCATTTATTAAATTACTATGTATTTAAATATTCCATACCTAGAAATTACTATGACATTTTTTTTATACTATGACTTAACTTTAAGCATAATCAAACTGATTTTTTTTTAAATTCAGCCCCTGATTCACCTAAATATACCTACATTCAGACTCCTGATGATGTTACTGCTTACTTCCGTGTTCCAACTGACATTAAGAAGAGTGATATTCAGATTAACTTGCAACCTTTGAACATAGAAGTTTTAATCAGAGGAAAAAGTGTATTGGCTGGTCAATTCTCTAACACTATTGATTCTAGTTCTAGTACATGGATTTTAGATGGAGAAAAGTTAGTATAATTATCATAAATTCTAAAATATTATCAATATTTTGAGAGATAATATGGTGTCATTCATTATTATTCCTGTAATTAAAATTATTATTTTTTAATTTCTTTAGATTTTTTAAAGACTCTTATTTATATTAATAGTATTGGTTTTATGATAATTAAAAAATTTTCTTTAATTTAATACTATCTTATTCAGTAGAATGTTAGAATTTTACTATTTGGAATGACTTCGTATTTCAATGATAAAAGAAAATGTAAGCAGTTTTTCTAAAAATTTGATATGTAAACTTTTAAAATACAAATTAAAATCACTTAGGCACTCATAAATAATGTTTTCCAAAATCTTAATTTTATGATATTCTTTGTGTTTAAAAAAAAACTTCCTATTTTATAGTATATCATCAATGTCAATGAAATGTATAGATTGTTTCTGCTAAATTTTTATAATTCAATTTATCACTTTGCCCAATTATGGAATCCAGATGTTAGTAGCAACCTTAAACATTGAAAATCATTTCTAAATTGTTTTAAAGCAAATAAAGTTAAAATGTTAACATAAGTTTATGTTTATGAAGTGCTAATGCATTTGGCTAACTCAAAAGCACTATTTTAGTTTGGAAATAATACTTCCATTGCCTAAATTGCAAAATCTCATTGTCATTTCTTCAACATTAAGTTTAGCTTATTAATTACTTATGTACATCAAAATGTGTGAAGAAAAATATTTATTCCAGTTACCTCTTTTTAAAGACAGTAAATCTAGTCCTCATAATTGGTTTTAAAATGTTTTTGAGGCTAGTTTTCTTTAGCTAAAAGGTTACAGGTGTTTTACCGAAAATAAGGTTTGGTTTTCTTATCAATGAATTTGCAATAATGAAGTTTGAATGTTTCTTCTTTTTTGCACTTCTTAAAGGATATTGAATATTTTATTATTCACTCAATATTTGATCATTTGCATATCACATGTGCCACAAGAGAAAGTGTTAACCTTAAAGTTCAATTTAATACTTTATAATCTGATACCAAAATTTGTTCATCGAAAAAAAAAAATTCGTTTTTCATGATTCATATAGTTATTGTCTCTGATGTTTTATTTTTCTTTACTTTTTTGTACTTTGCAATTTTTTTTCCTTTTGAAAAAATTTTCCAGTTCTCTAATATATTGCTCTTGTAAACATTTTTACAAATACAGGTGGTTATCAGAATAATAGAGACACCCTAGATTCAAAAGAAATCTTTTATTAATATGAGGAAAAACCACCTTTGGCACATATTACAATAGGTATTTGTCTTGGAAATAAATTATATAAGCTCTGAATAGTGATCAAAGGAATATTATACCATTCTTCGTGGAGATATTTTGAAAGACGTCTGTGAAGGATATCGATTTTGGATTTAGCAAATTTTTGAAAAAAATTGGTATCGAGGATTATATTTTAATGCTTACGAAACATATTACGGTCACTTTTATTCACATATGTTTTCTTTGTGTATTTCTGCATGTATACCAAAGGGGCAAATATATTTCAGTAAAATTTATTAAAATAACTAGATGCAGAAAAATAGTAATGCTATAAGCTTTAGATATAAAGCTGTTGTTTTGCTAAAAATGTTTTAGATTTTAAGATATAAAGCTATAAGCTTTTGTTAAGCTCACAAATTAGTAAAAATAGCTATTTTTACTAATTTGACCAGCTAGACACGAATTTTAATGTTGGTATTTTCAAATTTTTAACAGAAGCTCAGAATTCAAGATGACAGCTAATATGCAGGCTATTTTTTTAATTTTACATTTGTCTCACTATAGCTATTTTCTTAATTCTAAAGATCCCCCATAGAGTTATTTTTGTCGCCGAAGGCATCAGACATTGTTATTGTTTAAATGAATAGAACTTTATTTACGGGGACTAGTATCATGTTCAAAAATATGTTAGCAATTATATAAACACAGATTATTTTATTTTTAATTAATGACAAAAATTTTCATTTCGCACTAACTTGTATTTATCAACATCTCTACAATTTAATTGTCATTATTAATGTTATTAAATGACAAATCAATGCTACTAAATTTCACAAAAAAGTAAAACTTTTTAAGAGTAAGATTTTTGAGTAAAAAAATGTGCATTGTATCATATTATCTTTAGTTATGTAAGCTGGAAGTATCTAAAAAACACAGGGATGTATTATTTCTCTCCCTCAAATTTTGAAGAAAAAACTTTGTATGTCAGGAAAACGGAGCTGCAAAATTGTGAATAAAGCCAATTGCTTCAGTTAGTTTAAAAATATATTTTATATTTATTTTAAGTTTATTTCTTAAAATAGCAACTTTCAATGTTTATATAAAAAATAAGGAAATTAAATTAAAAATTATTTTTTTTTATTAAACAAAAATACTTACTGTCAGTTTTAATTTAAAAAAGTATGAAAACATTTACTTGACATTTAAAGTATAAAACTATATCACTAAATGTAAAGGGTATTCTATGCCTTCATATTAATTTATACTATATTTTTTAGACTAGAAATTATTTTATATAAAGCAGAAGTTGGTTTAATGTGGAGAGAGCTTGTGAAAGGAAATAATGAAGGTGAAGAACTTATGGATAAAGCACTTGTTGATGAAATACATGCTCGACTTGCTCATCTAACTTCAAGTGAAGAAGTAAGTTATGATTGTGTGCACAGGTATTTTCTTAAATAGCTGAATCACTCAAATCTGTCTTTAGTTGACAAACTATTGAAAAAAAACTATGGTAATCTAAGTTTTATCATCTTATCTGATTTTTTATGAAAATTTTTGTATTGTTAAGTATCTAATATAAAGGATGTTTTTCAAATTTGATGGATTATGCTTATTTTTTAATGTATTTTAAAATTTCAATATGAGTTTTGAAGGACATTCCTCCAGATTACTTTCCTCCAATCCAACTTCAGGCTATTGCGAAAAATGATTTTTTGTGTTAATAATATGCTCAATTTAGTGTGAATATCTGTGAATAAGTAGTCAGTTTCAGTATGTTTATTATCCTCCTTTTCAGATTTATTGATAAATTATTATTTTCAAATTCAATCTATTCAATAGGTGTGTAGTTATAGTAGAAGGTAGCTGGTACATTTTCCAAAGACTAATAATTATATTTGAAATTTAATTGTAGAAAAATTTAATATTTTATGAAGTGTTTTTCCATGGAAATATAACAAAAAGATAACATTTTATTTATTTTGGATATCAATGTCATAGTCACACTCATTCTCACTTGCATATGCTTTATAATTATTTTATATTTATTCAATGTAAAACAACTGTATGCAGAGTTTTAATAACTAGTTAATTTCTGATTTTAACATTAGTTGTTATTTAGAAACTTTCAAATAAGAAAAGTTATTTTTTTTAATATACAGCTATTTATATATTTTTACTTTGTTAAGTAAATGTATATTTGTTATTATTGAACTATTTAAGTATTTTATTATCAAGCATAGATTGTATTTCTATTGACTTTAATCCATAGGTCATGCCAAGTAGCAAAGTACCATTCAACTTAGATCAGTTAGAGGAATGTGATTCTTCAGATGAACAATTGACTTTTCAAAGAATTGATGGCAACGAGCATTGTGAAACTCATAAAGTATGTATTAACTGTTATATTAATTTTTGCATTACATTTTGTACAATTTTTAAATTTAAATATTTTATAATTAAGTGTAGTTTTTTTAATGTGTAATATTTTAGATGTGTTTCTCTCACATCTTATCTTTATTAATTTTTATCAATATGTTGATGTTTCTACAGTGTTGTTCTCATCTTAGTCTTACAATAAAGTTTCTTTAAAGCTAAAGGCTACGGCACTGAAAATAATAAAATGCTGTTTTTGAGCTTTAACCCGATAAGATAGGATGGACATAATTTTAGGCAGTTAACAGAACAAATGTTTGAGATTGGCTTTTACCATCTAAAATTGAAAATCTCTAACTTTAAGTAACCAACTTAAAATAGGTTTATCTTTCTATCTGTATTTGTAACTGGTACATATATATCTAACAATAAATTCTGAAATGAAACGAGATTTTAGATTTTTCAAAAATTTTAAATGGATCAATATGATCCGTGATGATTTTTTTTTCTTTAAAGCTTAACATTTTTATTTAAGTGTGTAATCAAGTTATTTAGATATCTAATCATAAAAACTATTAACAATTGGATGTTTTGTATTTAATGAAATATGAGATAGTGCCTTTTTGAGTGGACTTTGTTGTAATCTCAATTTTGATGTAAAACTAAAGTATGCAATGGTACACATAATTTTAGTCCAGTTTCAATAGGTGAATATTTTGTTTAAAGCCTTTTGTATTTTAATTTTACTACACAATTTATAATCCCCCTTAAGTTTTTGATTTGTGCTTTTATAGTAAACGAAAAAATGCTTGCTGAAATTACAGCCATAGAGTTTATTTATTACATTAGCATGTCTAATAAAATATTAAGTAATATTATATTAGCATGTCTAATGAAATATTAAGTAATATTATATTAGCATGCCTAATGAAATATTAAGTAATATTATATTAGCATGTCTAATAAAATTTTAGTAAATAAAAAATATTCTGCATGAAAAAGTTTAAGAATAAAAATAATTTTTATTAATTTTTTATATTTAACTAATATAAATGCAAAAATAAAATAAAAACTTTAGCTACTATTGTGGAAACTATGTGTTAAAGTATAATAGAATTTCGACAATCAATATGAAAGGATTGTAAATTCATTTATACAAGAAGAGAAAATCATAATTTTTCTGTCACTTTATCCTTCATATCATAAAAATAAGTAACATTCACTGATAAATACTTATTTGAAAGTAAATGAAGAATTTATTTATTTATAATAAATAAACTGTTCACTGAACAATTTATATTGTTCAAGGAAAATAAATAATTTTATAATAATAATGATATTTTTTGTTAGTAACTTAGTTAATTTCTTAGCATGTGCTAACTGACTGCTAAATTCATTCGTATTTTTTTTTTCTTATAACATTCATCTAAAACAAATTTTTTGAAATCTCTTTAGGTAATTTAGTGGACATAAATATCTTTTTTCAGAACAATTTCATCCTGAATTCGGAAACTTAGTTAATTTGATTTTTAATTTAACAATAAGACTGCTAAATTCATTCTAACTTTTCGTCACATAACGTGAATCTAAAATATTGTTTGTTTTTTTAACTTTTCAGATTAATTTAGGTGGGCATCAGTGGCTATTTTCGGAACAAATTCATCCTGAAAATCTTCCTGCTATCTGTCTAAGGTATGATGTTGATGGTATTCTGTGGCAGCCAAAAAATGTTTCCAGTGAAGGTGAATTAGAGAATTTCAAGATGGAGCACTCTACTACATTTTCTGCTTTGGGTTATGTATCAGCTTCTAAACAAGATAAAAAATTCACTGCGTGTTGTCCTGATTACCAATATGCAGTAATTTCTGACTGTGCACGTCACTTGTATATTTACTGTCAGCCTGAAAGTTTACATTCTGCTTTGGAGCTTCGAAATCGTAAAACTGGAGAATCCATTGCTCATATAGCAAAACAATATGTTGTATCTCTCGAAGAATGTGATAGAATTTTGGGTTTGCGAGCATGCTCTCAATGTATATTTGTTTTAAGTAAAGATACGTTGTATGCTGTTAAAGTTGCATCAAAATGAATTTCATTCTTATGAATGTTTTTGTGTATAAATTTTAGGAACATAATAAATGCATTTTTTTAGATCACTTTCATAATTAGTTTTGTAAGTTACACATAGGTTTTATGCCTAATCTATCTGTATATAAATGAATGTCTGTGTGTGTATGTCCTTTAAAGACTCTTAAACCATCCAAACAAAAGCTATGAAAATTGGCATACAGATAGATCAAAGCACGAGGAAGGTCTTTAGAACATTCTACGACAAATAGTTCTAGCAGGATCTGCAAAAAACAAAATGGAATTTTCTGATTGGTTAATCGTTGGTCATTGTTTTAAATTTAAGAATCAATATTTCACTTATTTTGAAGATTCATCAGTGGTAATTGCTAGCTTATAGCTCTGTTTGATCAAAAAATTATTTATTTAAAATCAACAGTAATGGAATAGAAAAAACTATTTATATTTTCGATAGCAAAAATTATTGGGAAAGTGGTTCTAATTCGTTTAGGAGAAACGAAAAAAAATCGACGCCAATGAGGCTTAATTACGCCAATTATGTTTAATTAATATTGGTAATATGTATTAATTGACATAAAGAAAATTAACTTCTGAACTAAAAAGTAAAAGTAAGTAGAAAAAATGCTTATTCGCGTTTTGGGTAACTGTAAAAAATCTGACTCTAAAATCTGACTGTAAAAAATCTGACTCTAAAAATCTAAAATTATTGACTCTAACGCTCAATTAATATTGATAATATGTATTAATTGAAATAAAATAAGCCATTTGCTAAAAAGCTAAGCTCATGGAAGGAAGATTAAATGGGAAATTCGTTTAAGAAAACCGTAAAAAATCGCCATTCACAGATGATGCTTAATTCATACATATCACAAAAGTGACAAAATAATATTATATACTACTGGTATTATGGTAACTGGCGAATTGGTTTTAAATCTGACGAAATATTAGGTAGCTTATTTGCAATTAACAAGCGTTCATGTCACAGCTAGTTAGACCGAGCGCTCCGTTCTTGAAGTAACAGTTCAAGCTTTGCGCCGCCCTGACGTCTCAGGCGAAAATTTGAGGTTTGGCTCGGTGAGAGTTTCTTCAAAGAAGTGAACCAGCCCTTCTATTCTCTTTAGCTCTGGTACTAAGCGAGCAGCGAAAGGTCCCCATTATGTTATTACTTGCGATTCAGGAAAGGTATGTTTGCTTTGTTGATGTTAGGTCACACTTTTTTATAATTAAATAGAAACAAAATGCACCCGATTCATTTTTATGAATAAAGTAATTCTATGAATGATATTACCATATTGCACAAGAGTTTGTCGTAAACAAAAAATATTGAAATGCAAAAAAAAAGTGTTTCGTTTTATTTTTTCCCATGTGCATTTGCTCATTTTCCCCCCTTTACATCGGTGTTAGTGAGTTAAAATAACAAATGTGCTCCAAAACTAATTTTTTACAATTTTTCCTGTTGGTGATCGAAATGGGCTGCAGGTGGCGTAGAGCAGAACTCTCTATCTATGGCATCACTTTACATGCTTTCACCACTAGCGTATGGAAAGTCATAAGAGAAGGAAGTACGTTAGTTTCTGTCTTGATTTTACTTAAATTTAAAACTTTCATGTTTGGAAACTATATGGAACTGAAAACTACATTGTACATAATTCCGAAAGAATGTGTCGTGGAAATTTTAAAAAATATTTATGACCATTAAATACGAAAAATATAAAGAAATGGGAAAATATCGTAGTACTTCCTATACGACTGAAGAAAGGTCAAGCCATGGAACCAGTCTTCTCCCCAGATGACGTGTGGATGGTCGACCGTGTAAAGATAAGCACAGATGGTGCTAAGGTTAAAATTCGTTCTAAGACTTCTGGGTTACTGCTTCCTATTGATTTTTTTCGCTTAATCTTAAAAATGCGCGCAAGCCTTACACTTAATTTTTATTGTGATATTAATTTTCTTAAATTTGGTTTAAGCTCACGATCTGTTAGAATTTATGTATTACAGAAAACTCTTATGAATGGTAAAATTACGCTTAAATTTAAATTCAAATTACTACAATAATAAAACTTCTAAGCCTGTTCACAAATTGCCTCCAAAGTTTATAATTTTTTTCCGGTTTAGAAAGCTTATTATTGTTTGCATTCAGTCAACCATCCGTTCGAGAGTTCGATTGCGAATTTTATTAATTTCCAGTATTCATTTTAAAGACACTTGAAGGGAGAAAAAAATCGAGGAAAAGAAGAAAGAATTCAAGGAAAAAATTCTGGTAAAACTCAAGTTTAGGAAAAGAAAAAAACGAAAAAGAACATTATTTGAATCAATGGGCATTGTTAATAATATATTAAAATAAAATAAATTTATTATAATATATTAAAATAAAATAAAATAAAAAAGGAAATTCAAAAGGAAATTAAAAATAGTTAAAGAATCATTTTACTTTCAAAAATTGTAATGATTTGTTGTAGTTCATTTACGTCGGACTGAGAATTGAACTATTGGCAATAACTGTATGGGAAAATTCCCTGAGGATGATCCAAAGACCTGTCACCACAATTTTGGTCTTCAGAGGGGATGGCACCCCCGCTTCGGTAGCCTGATGAACTGCAGGCAAATTAAACGAAAATTGGAATGAATGAATGGGAAAGAAATTGAATGAAATGAGTGTTATGTGTTTATTATGATTTAAGTGTTATGATTTTTATAATAAAAACACTTTACTTGTAAATAATTTTTTTTTTATTTTGATGATAGTTCTCTACAGATTGATTTTTTACGTCTTATTTAGAACTTTAGGAATAAAAAGAAAGAAACAATATGAAAGATATTTATTTCATAAGATTTTAAAATCATCTTTTTTCGTAAGAATTCTTTATTTTACGTTTTTTAGTTTATAATTTTTCTATAAAAATTGTTGTCAAAAAAATTTTTGCAAAATTAAATAGTATAAGATTATGTGTTTATGTATATTTCTTGCATAATGTAAAGTTTAAATGTACCTTTCATATTAGATCATTAAATTTAGTAGAGCGATTTCTCAGGCATTAGGTTTTAACTCTAATAAGATTTTTTACAAATATTTTCCGATGCGTGTTAGATGTTCCTTCGCTAAAAAAAAAAGAGATTCCATTTTGTTTTCACTTGCATAAGAAAGAATATCAAACATTTTAGATTACAATTATAAAATTTTGTTGAGCGGTATGTCATCTAAGAGTTGTGTAAGGATAATCTATGTATATATTATTTGAGAATGAAATTTTCAAACGAAGAAAATTTAATTTTCAATTCTCCAGAGTTGGTAAGTGTTATGATTTTTATAATAAAAAATTTTAGTTTTTTTATTTTAATGTGAGGAATTTTTCGAAGAGTTTTTTTTTGTTTCGTAAACATTCTTTATTTTAAGTTTTTTAGTTTATAAATAATGATTTTTATTGAAACTTAAGATTTTTTTTGATAAAAATTGTTGTCAAAAAACTTTTTTTGCAAAATTAAATAGTATGTGGCTAAATAGTATAGGCTTTTTTTGTTATATCATTACATTTAGTAAAACGACTTCGCAGGCATTAGGTTTTAGCTCTAACAAGTAGATACATATTTTTTTTCCTGTTCATTTACAAATATTTTTTCGATGTGTTTGGGATGTTCCATCTCTAAAAAAAAAGAGATGCCATTTTGTTTTCGATTGCATAAGAAAGAATTGTTGTTGTTGTTGTTAATTTACGTCGCACTAGAGCTGCACAATGGGCTATTGGCGACGGTCTGGGAACATCCTGGAGGATGATCCGAAGACATGCCATCACAATTTTGATCCTCTGCGGAGGGGATGGCACCCCCGCTTCGGTAGCCCGGCAACCTGCGCGCGAAGTCGAGCACTTTACGGTAGCACAGTTTAACAAGGACCAATACCGCACACCCTCGGACCCTACGCAGACTGATCCAAGTGGTCACCCACCCGCACACTGACCGTAGCCAGTGATGCTTGACTTCTGTGATCTGCTGGGAACCGTGTGCATAAGAAAGAATATCAAATATTTCGCTTTTTAAATTTAATATGTTGTTGTAGTTAATTTACGTCGCACTAGAGCTGCACCATGGGCTGTTGGCGACTGTCTGGGAAACATCCCTGAGGATGATCCTCTGCAGAGGGGATTTTAAATTTAATAAGCCACAATAACGAACGAGTGTTACAATGCTACCCTGAAGACATCAATCGAATTTGTAGGTATTCGTCTCATACAACAGCGCCACTTATAGTTCGTTGCGATCGCGAATTGCAAAAAGGTTGAAGTAGCTGAATCTAGTAAACATGATCAAAATATAAGCGATAACGATGATAAATTCAGCGAATAAAATTTGGCTGTTGCTTGGCTGACCGCCTCTTTAATAAATAGAGGCATTTGATTGGTCG